CACCCCCCCCCCCCTCGTCACACATCGTCACAAATGTCTAACCCCCCCCCCCCCCTAGGTGCGTGATGTCATTTATGACTGGCCCTTTGTTGAGTTATCGTTTGTGATGGCCAGGTCTCCTGAAAAAAAAAAACAGCTATATATATAGCTCGGTGGAGCCTTACCTGGCAAAATAAAAATATAAAATAAATAAAGATATAAACCATTGATGTATCTGTGCATTGTGGCGTTGTTCCCCTTCGAGATTCCACATCAGTTCGGGGAGGACTCGAAACTGGAGTCCAGTTGATATAACCACGAAACGAGGGCCTTGATTTCGCGGGCTCCCCAAGAGCCTGCCAAAGTCGCCAAGTGGAATAACAGGCAGAGAGGTGGACCCTGAAGTTTGCCCAAAAGCATCAGATTCTTGTGCAACAACGAAAGAATGTTTCATGTACAGAAGCAAAAAGTCTGCAGAATTATAACCCGGACAAACTTACAAAGCGAAAAGGCGATTTGAAGCGGCAGAGAATTGTAAACGGGCCGTCCATTAAATATGAATGCTTTTCATGTTTTTTATTTTTGTAACTTTTTTTACATTTCTTAATATATATTTTTAAATCACATCTTGTATACAACAGCTGACCCTGTATAAGACGCGCATCGTAGACAAAATCCTTACACCCCCGCCCCTGTTGCTGTTTAACAGTAACCCCCCCCCCCTCCTCCCCGGTGGTCTGGTTGTCACAATGCATCAAAACATCCACACGCTCCTGTCCACCTGTTTTTTTCCATGAGAGGTCATACAATGCAGCTGTCACTCAAGAAGCTGAGATGAAGTCTTAACTCGGCGGGGGCGACCAATTCGGCCTGAATGCACGGTAGACGGTCTGATCTTGGAAGTTACACAGAGTTCGGATTGGGTTAGTTACTTGGTTGACACTTGCCTAGATTGGCAATACAGCAATGGATATGTGGATCTTGTGTGTGTGCAGTTTTAAGTGTGACCCCCCCCCCCCCCACCATCTTGTATGTGTAGGTTTTCTACGACGTGATAGCCACTCAATGGAATCAGGCCAAACATTCCAATATGGGTAGGGCCCTCTTAAAAGTCAACATTCACTGGGCCATTCCTGGATTAATGAATGGCATTCTTATTATTGTTGTGTTAGGTTCTGGATTCAAGATTTAGGCCTAAGGCGTCTCTTTCATTGGGTTTATGTCTCCCAGAGACACCCAGCCCCAGGCACTGAACCTACGACCTCAGGTCCTGGTTCAATATCCCTCGAGTGATTGCCTGTATTGATGTTCTTACGTGATAGAATGTGCCAAATAATAGTTTTGCATGAAACGAAATTCCATTTGGAGATCGTTAAACATTGGCGACGTGTTCGAAGGCACGCGCACACAGGCCACGTCTGCTCGTAACCCAATCCGAACTCCTCTTGACAATGTGAAAAATACCGATTCTCGGAGAAAGAGGTCTATCGACATGTTATAGCGATCGTTAACAAGCACGCTTTAAACTTCAAAGTAAACATGCAATGTTGGGTCAACGCTGGCATGTTGACTGGGTTCATCGCTTTCTCCCATACCTCATCAATCCGAGGTGACAAACTTTAATAATATTGAATGAATCCAAAGTGACTCAGGATTGCTTCAGCCCTAAAGCCTAAGGCCTGGGCTGGAATGGTTTATAAACTAGGCCTCTCATGGGAAAAAAAAAGGTTTTCGGTGGGTATTGTAGACACAAGAGAATATGAGATGTTACAAGGTCTGGAAGGCATGCGTAACCTAAGGAATGTGCTTTATAAAACAGACTTCAATATGTATATAAAACAAATGTCGAATTCGGCGAGCTGTACATTTTACTGGAGAGAAAAGACCAAGCAACGGAGCACTGTGGTGTGGCTGAAACCCAAGCCCACGGCAGCCATCTTCGAAGAGGAAGGGAAAACTTGAACACAGGTTTGAGGCACAGCAAGTACAGAAACGTCACAATTTAAAGGTTGAAACGTGAAGCACAATTTGAACATTCGTTGTTATTCAAGGTTTGCTTTTTGAGTGTGGAGAGTTCATAATCATCATTCAATGACACACGGGCGCCCATCAGTGATGGCTAATGATGTACAGGGCAGGCATTATAATACACCCGCCATTTTAAAATAATTTAGTTGCGGTTACCGAGATTATTTTAAGAATTTTGGATTAATGCGGTGAGAACAGCTGCGGGCAAGCTATGGACCACTTTGGTGCGAGATTATTTCACTTCCGACGTGTCCTGCGCGGCATGCAATGGCGACATTTCTCCTCAGATACAGAGGGCGATGGCTGGAATTGTACCTCTGACTCTGCGCTCTGTAGGGGCGTCCATGAATGACGTCACGCGATTTTGGATGATTTTTGACTCCCCCCCCCCCGTCACACGGCGTCACAAAAAGTCAGACCCCCGCCCCCCCCTCAAATATGACGTCACAAAGCTCTGCCCCCCTCCCCCCCCAAAACATAAAACATGCTTCAAATCGATTTAAACTATTGTCATTGTAGTGCGTATTTAATGTGGCGTTGCACTTTGATGTTGTAGGAGACAATATTTATTAAAACGTCTATTTAATTAAGTAGAACGTGTTGTCTATATTTAAAGTTGAGCATTTTTATGTGACGTCACATTTCTCAACCCCCCTCCTCGTCACACATCGTCACAAATGTCTGTCCCCCCCCCACCCCCCTAGGTGCATGACGTCATTTACGGACGGCCCCTGTGGCGTATGGCTCGAGGTGTCATTGCAGGAATATCCGGCACGCCTTAGCACGATTGATCAAATTTGTGTTCGTGTCTCGATTAAGTTATTCCGAATCGGATTACATACTTTGTGCTTACATTAATTTTGCACTGCGCAGGCAAAGTTGTGGACCACTACAAGGACAATGTACAGTCTTTGCTTCCTCCGTTTAACATGCTGTTGATGACACGGGGTGAAGTCTAAACTATCCAGGGTTTGATTTATTTAAACAAAATGCTAATGGGGCGTACGGATCGGGAAGGCGCTTTGGCTGATATTTGATTTTGACGACGGAGCGCATAGCTCGCTTTAATGTCAAAATGCTTATTCCAATTTTCAACTTTAAAAGTTAAGTGAGAAATTTTCAACACCAAAAAAAAAATCACGGCCAAAAAAATAATTCGCCACGACAGAAAATGCATTTTCTGTGACGATAGCCTCGCGTTTCACCGCAACGCCTTCACATTCATCCCGGAGAGGCACCCGCTGACGGCCAAGTGCCCAAAAGGGCCTATGTGCTTCCCAATTCAACCGTGAGCCGATTCAAAACTATCGGGGAAAAAAAAATTGGCAAGCGATCAGTTCTTCCGCTGAATCCCAAAATTGTACTCCGAATAAACACAAGAGTTTGGACCTCGCAAACAAAAAAAATTGAACGAAAATCAATAACACGGGTATCTTGTTTCATCCGTGTGTGTACGTGTTGGTGTGTGTGTGGCACATTTGTGTTTTAGGTAGTATCAACTTTGTGTTCTGCTCTCTTCTGAAGTGAAATCCCCCCCCCCCCTTCCTTATTTGTAGAATTAAAAAAAAGTGGCAGCCTTGTCTCAACAAAAATCACGGCCGTGGTTCCACCACCACCACCTCCACCTCCTCCACCATGAGCAACAATGTACAGGATGGCGCGCGTCCGTATTGCAACGCAAACTCGCAATAAACATCTCGGTTTTCTTTTTTACGCTCATAAAAAGGCCTCACAAACACAGCCACCCGAAAATGGACCCCTCTCCCCCCCCTGTCAGCAAATGGCTGGCAAATGCATCGATTCCCCCCACCCTTTGCAGGGAAACACATGGGACAATTTGAGCAAGGCCCATCAAGCGCTGTACTCTTGCGGACCGTAGTTTAATATCGTGATGATTTACACCGGCAACTGGACGATAAATGTAATCCCTATCCATGGCGTATCGTGGCGCACACTCCATTTTGTATTACGTGACGTATCGAGTGCTGCCCCGATTTGAGGCCTGGGGCAATGATGCTCGGACGGGTGACCACCCCCCAAATGGCTGCGGAGATACTTGATGGGCAGCGCTGAGAAAATCCAAGTACCGCAACTCTACAGCTCTGATCTATGCCTTTCACACTGGCAAACTTGGCGAAGCATGGTCAATTAAGCCCCCCCCCCCACCCCAAAAAAAAGGTTTTTGTACACACGTGCACGCATTAAAAACATTACACACATGGGTCAATTACACTGCTGCATGAAAGCCTCCCAATGTTGATGCGGCAGTGGGGTGCTTTTGTGTGACTCAAACTTAACCAAGTTGGTCAATGCGGGTAAGAAGGTGGTCGTCAAAGGGACTGGTTCAGATATCATTATGGTACATGTAATCTGAGCAGAAATAGCGGGTATCACATTGATAATAGAGGTTTCATTTTTTGGGGCTAGATCGCGCAAATATAAACGCGTTGTTAGACCCGTCACCACCCGACACAGCCAATTAAGCAAGGTTCGTCGCCCAAACAAAATGTGCCAATTCGCTGCTAGGTCAGCGCATGTTGGGAGTGTAAACCCACAACAACATTTACATTTCGAGTACAGCGACGTTTCGACCGGTAATTACAACCAGCCTCATCAGGCGACAACTCTGATGAGGCTGATTGTAATTGCCTGAAATCTAACACCCCCCCCCCAAAAAAAAAACTCTTATTACGGATAATATTGGGTCGCGAAAGCGTACTCCTCGGAAATTTGTACTGTTACCGAATGTAAACATATTTGCCTAAGCAATAACCGGTGAAGCAATATTTTGTGAGATATTAATTGAAAGTCCCGTTGTAGAATCGGGCAGAAGAAAGGTCGCCACGGAGAGATATTGTATGGTGGCTTTTGGATGAGATAATGTTGAATATACTGGGCATTCAATAGATGCCCCTGGGTATTCAATACGTGAAGACTATTCAAGTCGATTCTTTCGTCACATTTGTTCGTTCTCGTTTGTTCCGTCTCGTTTGTTACATTAGCCAAAGGGTAACATTTGCGTATAATTCGTGATTTTATGAAGGTGTAGTGAGCGCAGGAATATATTTTAAGAGTATACTATTTCACATACCAGGCGAAGCCCACTTTGTTCAGAGGCAACTTGGCCACAGATGGTTTACATAATAAAAAATGTGGGAATTTATAGTAGCAGCCAAATAATCCAAGTGTTTTCTAAATGTGTGTGTGTGAGGGGGGGGGGCGGGAGTAAAACTGGAGCACGGAGAAAAATCCACACGGACCCCAATTGGAGGCATATTCAGGGATCCCCGTTCGAACCTACGACCTCCTGCATACCAGGCGAGGGACATAACATCTCCCCCCGCCCCACTACACCACATTTTTACCGACTAACCCTTGGTTACACGACTCAAATGGAGTAGGCTACAACCAAATAGTCCCAAAGGTAAGCTAAGCAGGACGGGGGCTGGATACTAATTGTTTGGGTGGCTTTGCGAGGGCTCCCAGCACGTATTGTAGGCGTGAGGTTGCGTGGTGGCCAGCCAATGGCAGTGTTGAACCATCACCACCCCCTCCCCCTGCCACGAGTATGAGTGGACATTTTATCCGCGTGATCTCTGTTGACTTCCCACACAAAGCCAAGCAATCATTTTATGTAAATGCAAAAACTTCCCAATGCGGGACCCTCCGGTTTTGATGCTTTATTAATTAATGCACATTACATATTTATGCGATTTGCATTAATAAATTAAACTTTTAAGTACCAGGTAAGAGCCACAGAGCTCTTTTTCAGAAGCGACCTGGCCACAAATGATAGCTCGACGAACATGGTTTATCGTCTGGAAATTTGAAGCAGCCAAATGCTCTAAACATGTGATGTTGATTCTAAATGTGGAGGGAAAAACCGGAGGGACCCAGAGAAAAATCCACGGAACCACGGAGAGAGACACACGCAAACTCCAAATATATAGCAGGCATCAGGGTCGGAATCGAACCCACGATCTCCTGTATACCAGGCGAGGTAGTTAACATCTCGCCACCATGGAGTTCACTGTTTTGGCCAATCAACCCACTGTGTTTTTGACTTGCAGATGAAAACAGTGCGGGGACATTAAAGAGAAAAAAAATGAGTTTTGGAAAAATAGTTGGCACATCAATAAATCTTCATCAACAAACATGAGACACCAAAGAAAATTATTTATAAATAGTTTAAATGTTTGAGTACCAATGTGGAAAGTGCAGTAACAGCAATCTTCTGCCAGTCGTCCATTTTTGATCGGCAGTCACTGCCCAGTTTAACTTTCGATCAGCATGCCCGCCAGTTGCGAAACTAAAACGCAAAGTTGCTCAAGATGACAGTGAAGTATTTTCAGCCTATACCCGTGAACTACTGGCAATGGAATTTGCCAAATAATTGTATAAAGGGAATCAAGATGCATTTGCTGCCCAGCAACAGGCTTGCGATTGGCTCATCACGATCACATGGTCACGACAAAATGTCGGTTCTTGCACAGTTTAAGCGGAAAGGGAACCGCTTTGCGCCAAAAAACAAAATGCACAAAAATGTTACAAATACACCGTCGGCAAAACAAGCATTTATTCTCATTACATCGGTCACCTTTAATTAAAATAAACAGTTTGCACGTGACCCGAACAGCAGGGGGAAAGAAGGATAGTTACCCCTGCGGTGGTACAGGATTTTCACTGGGGTGGAAACAACTATGCGAGGCCCCTTTTGCCTGTCAAGGCCTCGCACTAGGCCACTAAGGCAATCTCCCACGCCACTGCTAGGTCCACACCTCTCTGCAACTTTGCTGAAGTCAACACAGATTTTGTTCTCCCCCCCCTGCTGCAATACAGGGAGAGAAAAAAAAATCAGTTTCAAGCACATGTTCTGCCTCCCTGGTGTTCCGAGGCCTTCATGAGATTCTAATAGTGCGCAAAAAAAAACGTTCTCATCACAGGTGGGCTTCCCGAACCAATAAAGCAAGCCATAGAGTTCCCCATCAACAGTCTTCCACATTTGCATTTTGTGTTAAACATGCATGTGCCGATTACACCACCACTAAATAATGTCAACCATGGTATTTTTAGGGTCTTGTCCCGAGGCAACGACGTCTATCAGGAACTCTTTCACTTTCGTCATGTTGTTTGTGTCAAGGAACGGGCCCCTTGAGAAGGTGCCACCTTCTGAATTCAACGAGCCACTTAACTAGGCCACCCTCAACCGTCACAAGATGACACTATCCGATGCTCTGTAGACATCGGATTGACCTTTGGGCAACAAGGCAGAGGCCATCAAATGTTCTACTCTTAAGACACGAATCTTAAGAAGTTGTGAATTTAAAATCGGGCGTAGCTAGAGGTCTAATTTTCATGCACAGTGCTCCCGCAATGCCCGTAGACACTGTTGGAAGTGGCACCCGCCAAAAGAGATGGAGAGCCCCCAGCCACCCCCACCAGCCTCGTCCATTTACGAAGCGCGCTTGCAAAAAAGTTGGCTTTGCCCGACTGGCTCGTGATAGCCCACCTGCACCAGAGAGTACTTGCGCATGATTGGCCACACTGTCGCCGATTAACACACTTCACTCTTGCTAAGCAGTAAAATGATTTGGGTGGGGGGTAGGAAGGTGCAACTACACCTGACCAATCAAAATGTACACCACGGACAACTATTGTTGATATCTCACAAGTATTAAACACGGAGCCTTCTATAAAGGCATTTAGAGTGTATTTAACTATATTACAAGTCAACGTGTACCATTTGCTCATCGATTTTTTTTTCCTGTCTTGCTCTGGGCTTGTGTCTTACGGAGCCTTTTATTGATGAAGAGTTCAGTGTTTTTTTTTTAATCACTAAAATTATATTGAAGAGGTTACAAACACTTTTTGTTTATACTAAAATTGCACCATGAATTCCCGAGAGCTTTCGCTTAGAAGCGTGCGGTCGTAGTGGTTGCTTGCAAAGAAGATAGCAAATAGACAGACCCTCTACGATTTCTTACTGTGGTCATTCCTTCATCGTCACGAGAGTTAATTGGAATCGGGTAAACATCCCAATGCGGAGAGAGTCCGCCTGAAAATCCCCGAGACCGAATACATCTATCCTGGGGGGGGAAGAAAAAAAACGGACGTAATAATGTCACCGTGACGAGACAGTGGTTCCAGATAATTGACAAAACTTCCTCTGAAGTCACTTTAAAATGTGCTCTCGGTTCAGACTTAAAAACTGCACTCCCGTTATTCCCCACAAGGAGCGCTCGTCACGTAAGACGCGAAAGTGTTTCTTATGTTACGAACACATTTAAAAATAGTTTAATGACATTAAATCTATATTTAATATGAACGGGGAGTTGTTGCTTTTTAGCAGCCCATCGGTCACCGGGTTAAGAGCCATCGACCCCGCTGGAATTGAGAACCTTGTGTAACCATGGGTGGCCGATATCCGAGGTTCAAACCCAGGATCTTTGTGGCGTAGGCTCAGTTGCTCTGACACAGCCATCGCAAGCTAAAAACACTGAACTCCGTGCAAAAAGCATAAGTCACACACACAAAAAAAACCTCCCAAGTGTATGCCATCAGTGCCCCAAAGTCCTGAAGACTTTTGCGATGACACTAGCCCAATACAGGAAGAACCCACACACGCAGATAAATGTACATCATGTAGTGTTGGGGAGAAACATATTACAAAGCATCATTACAATCAGATTAACTTATTCCTCTGCCAGGGCTTTGTACAGGATTGGTGCATCATTTTCTTGCAAAACACAAAAAATGGAGGGTTACATTATTTAGTGGATTCGAATATTTTGAGCAATCGGCGACCGGAGAGCGGATTCGTCTTGACCAAAATTCGACTTCCCCAACACTGCCAACGCAAGAATCACAACGCACAGCAAAAGATCACACGGCGGAGGAGCAGTCAAACGGCTCCTCCGTCAGCGAAAGGCGCCCGCGCAAACCTCCCGGAGCCATATCGCCACTGCCCCAGATAAAATAAAAAGATACATTTCTTTGTTCTTCTGCGTTAATCGTTTTGTCGTCGTCGTGGTCCTTACGATCGTCCGCTCGAGAAGCACCCCCCCCCCCCCCGCCACCCCCGTCCGAGAGGACGCATGTGCGCCGTGCGTCGCGAGCGAAGGTTTAAGAACAAAAAACAATCGTGGACAAAGATAAACTTAGATCGTACCCGCCAGTGTATCCCGTTCCACCCCCCGCCCCCCCCCACATTTGCTGGTTCAGTGTCCGAGTCCACCGTTTGACGCACACGAGTACCGCCACAGTTTTTGTTTCAACGGCGAGAAGGTATCTCCCCCCCCCCCATCCCCCTCCCGTGTTCTTTTTTTGTTCCTGTGTGTGTAAGTTTGTTGTCCTTCCCCCCCCCCCCGCCCGCTGCCCGCACCTCCGCTGAGTCGCGGTTCGGCTATGTGCGGTGCGAACGAAGTTCAACGCACCGACGCCGCCGCGACGCGGGAATTTTTCCGACACAAGACAATATGGCGACCGGCCCCGTTTTCGCGCGCTCCCCAAATATTACACAGGGGTATTTATATAAATATATATTTTTGTCCCACGGCTATCTGATTGAAGAGAAGTCTTTTGGCCTTGATAACAAATTTGTATTTTTTTGTTCTTTCCCCACAGCCCCCCCCCCCCCCCATCCTACCCTCGAATGTGGCGGACTGGATTTTTTGTTGCTGTAAATTTCCGTTAAAACCGCGAAGCGTGCTGCTGACTTGGGACGTGGGTCGTGGGTCTCCCCTCCCTCCCCCCCCCCCCCCTCGTTTTTGTTGTTGTAGCGGCCGTGAAATGACGACGGTGGGTTTTTTGTCCTTGCTATGTCGACACGCCACTTTTATTTTCAGCAAAACACCCACCTTGCTGTTGTAGCTTCTGCCAAATTCCTTCCGCGCGGAAGCAACAACAACGCTTTGCTCCTGGCACAAAAATATAACATCTCCGCACGTCCACTGCGGGTTTCCGAAAATTCTAAACGGTCATGGGGGCCCCAACGCGGGTTTTTGTTTGTTTGGTTGTTCTTTCGTAGTTAGCTTTTTCGTTCTTACTTCACGGAACTTTTGTTCATTTGAAATGACTACCTACGCAAGCGACCAGGCCGGCTAATTACAATCACAGGGTGTCCCCGTGAAGGTATCGTCGGTTAAATGTCGTCATTTTTAAGGCGACAGCTCGAAACGGTTGATTGAGACGTTGGCGGCGTCATATTCCTCCTATGCACGAGGTGCTTTTATGATGACTCAGGTGGTCAGAGGGGAATCCCTCTCAACAACAGGGCAACCCTTACACAAGAGAAAGGGCTTGCGTTGTTTTGTACGCAAAAACGTCGTTGTCTGCGTGGAACGAGACCGCCAGAGGTCGCCCCGAAGATAACGCCGGCTGTGATCGCGGGGCGATTTGTGCCGCGCTCGTAACTAGCAAAAGAACAAAAACCCAACACGGCGACCATCGATGCGGAATGTGCATGCTGGCAGCCCCTCCACATCGAGGGAAACTTCTGAAGGTGTCGGAGCATCCGTGAAGCGTGCTCCTGACAAAACAGAAAAAAATAACCCGGGGGTCTTCGCACGGGAAGTTTCTGAAACCTCGATAGCGGCGTGCGTCGTCGACGACAACGTTTTCATGCCCCTACAGAACACGCGCACACACGCGGAGTCTAATCAACCTGGCTCTGTCCAAAAATTGCAATCCTTTTAAACGACGGACGATACCTTCACGGGGGACACCCCCGCGTATTAATTTCGTTCCGCTCCTCCTTCGAAGAGGTTGGAGTGACACCCGCGTACCCCCCGCGGGCCCGCCACCCCCCCCCCCCCCCTCTCTACAAGTTGGTGTTGATGCCCATGCCCAGGCCGCAGCCACCGTCGGCGCCCCCTCCTTCCCTGGCGAGAGGTCGCACAAACGCCTCGCGCTTCCCCGCCACCGCCGGCGGGGGCTCGTCCGGCTCGTAAGGCAGCATGTAGTCGTCCGCCCGACTTCCCGCCGCGCTCAGGGGCAGCAGGTAGTCGCCCCGCCCGACGCCGCCGAGCGCCCCCCCGGCCGCCGCGTCGTAGCGGCCGTCCCCTCCGCCCGCCGGGAGGAAGGAGTCCCCGCGGGCCCCGAGGGCGGCCTCGTCGCGGTCGAGCGGCAGCATGTAGTCGTCGCTGTCCACCGCGCCCCTGCCGTTCTCCGCCGGGAAGTAGCCCGGCGGCGGCGGCTTCCGCGGCCCATTGGGCGGTACCGCCGCCCCGCCGCCTCCTCCGACGAGGATGACGCCGCCCGCGTCGCTCTTCTCCGCCGGCGGCCGGAGCCTGAGCCCGCGGGGGGCGACGGTCGGGCCCGAGGAAGAGGAGTCGCCGCCGCGGGCGCCGCCGCCGCCGCCGCCGCCATTGCGCAGGTTGGGCAGGCTGGCGCAGAGCGACGCCTCGTGACCGGGAGACTGCAGCTCGGCCACCTGGCGCGGCGTGAGCAGGGGGAAGTACGCGGCCGGAGGAGGAGGGTGGACGTCCTCCCTGGCGACGATCGCCGGCGGCGGCGGCGGCGGAGGCGGCAGAGGGGACGCCCGCGCCAGCGAGTGCGTCCGTCGCGGCAGCAGCGGAGCGCCCGAGTCGGGGCACCGTGGGTGAGCCGCCTCGCACGGGACCCGGATCAGGCTGCCACCGCCGCCGCTGCAACCACCAACGTCGACGTCGCCCTCATCGGCTCGCTTGTTTTTCCTCAACTTCAGCTTCCGTTCCTCCTCCAACGCCTCCTCGTCATCTTCCTCGTCCTCGGCCATTTCCTCTTCCTCGTCCTCGTCCTCCTCCTCTTCCTCCTCCTCTTCCTCCTCAACGTCGTCATCCTCCTCCTCCCCGTCGCCGTCCGCTATGATCACAATCCCGCTGCCCGCCCCCCGCGCCATCTGCTGCACGGCCGTCAGGTTGCGCAGCAGCTCGTCCTGCTTGCCCACGTACACCAGGTGGCGCTTGCTGGGGGTGAGGCTGCCGAACAGGCGGTCCACTTCGCCGCGGGGCAGCAGCAGGGGCGGCGCCGTCGCCTGCAGCTGCTGCTGCTGGTGCAGCTGCTGTTGAGGAGGCGACAGGGGCAACGTCGGCCCCAGGTAGGCGGGGGGTCCCGCCGTGTTGCCGCCGTCGTCGTCGTCGTAGCCGCTCAGGCCCAGGCCCAGGCCTAGGCCCTCGGAGTCGGCCAGGAAGACGAGGCCGTTGGCCCGAGGCGCCGAGGCGTCTGGCGCCCCCAGCTTGGCGTCGCTGTCCGGCGCCATGAAGTCGCGGCTGCTCAGGTGGAAGTGGCTGCCGCTGGAAGCGACGGCGCGCTGCTGGTGCTTGGCGCTGTTGCGCGGCGCTGTTGCCAGGGCGCCGGCATCTCGTGGGCCGATCGCCAGATGCTCTGCGGGGAAGAAAAAAATATATATATAATAATAGGGTATTTGGCTTCTGCTGCTAGAAATGTCCACATGATAAGCGATAAGCCACTTCGTTGAACGATCACTTGTGATAGCCAGGTCGCTTCTGAAATGAGCGATACAGCTCAATGGGCCTTACCTGGTCAAATAAAATTATTTAGTTTCTAACATTAACACTAAAACTAACTCCAGTCGAATGCTAACTCTAACCCCAACACTAACCGTTACTTTAACTATAACCCTAACCAACTCTTGACACTAACTATAACTCGAACCCTAATCCTAAAGGCCAACCATAACACCCTAACTCTAGCCCTGATTTGAACTCTGACCCTGACCCTTTTTTAGTCTTAGCAATACACCCAAACCCTCTGCAACAACCAACAAAATCGCTCGCATATTCTGTTGGGAATGTAATCCACCTTTATAATGTGTACCTCGCTCTCCGTTGCACACGCGTCATCCACAAATATGAAGTTATTACTAAAGTAAAGCTGTCCGTCGCTCCCTTGACCACACGTGGAAATTCACGTCGCCAGCACGCTTAGTTTCATCGTTTTTTTTTTTTTAAAGGAAATCCAGGTTTTTAAAAAGAATAACCATTTCACGCAATATCTAAAACGGGAGGGGTGGGGGCGGAAGCGCGCGAGCGCCATCTTGAGGAGGCGCGCAGGACCAGTGTGGGATGCTTCAAGCACGAACCACTAAGGTCACGGGTATATCGTAATAATAGTCACAATAATAACAATCCCACCTCCATTGATAATAAGTTTTCAACAAAATACGTGGCAAAATATCATCACAAAGCCGCCGTAATTTATTTTTCGGGGGGGGGGGGTGTGGGGGGGGTGTCGTATCCGCCGCGCATGTAACACGTTGTGCCCGCCGCACTGTCCCTTCACCCGGAACAACAACCAATTTAACGAAAAGCTGTCTCGTGATGAACAAAGCGCCGCCAATTTATCGCTGCCTCAGCAGCAGCACCACCACCGGTGGTGTCGTCACCGTTGGCGAGCGATCCACGCAAATACGCTGAGTAAAAACGGGCAACGGGACGTGTCGCCGGTAGTTGCGTACAACCGGCGTCGTTGGGCAGTTGCCAGCAGTGAATCGGCTTCACAACAAGAACCGTGGGTTGCCACGAGCTTTCAACTATTTTGCATTTTACCAGGACATTGCCCACTGAGCTATGTAGCTGTTTTTTTCAGAAGCGACCTGGCCATCACAAACTGATAGCTCAACAAAGCGGCTTAATAACACGGGAAAAAAATTCTAGCAGCCAATTACTCTTGAACAGCGTGATTTTGTTTCTAAAATGTGGAGGGAAAAACCGGAGGACCCGGGGAAAAATCCACGCGATCACGCGGAGGGATGGAGAGGGAGAGACACCGCAGACTGCCAAATATACAGCAGCAGCAGCAGTCGTCAGGGTCGGGATCGAACCCACGACCTCCTGTAGACCAGGGGAGGTAGTTAACATCTCCTAGCCACCGTTGCCCAAGCCACGCGGGACTTTGCTGGTGGATTAATTGCTAAGCGCCGGAGGAGGACCCCGGTCGTATGGTACTCACTACCGAGTAATCAAACTCGGTTCGCTGGGGGGAAGGGGGCGGCGGGCGGGGGGAGGGGGTGGGTCGCATCGCACGGTACATTAATCACCGCGCCGCCGCTCTCAGTTGCATTGTAACCCCCGGTTACCCCCCGGTTACCCCGGTGTGCGTTCCCACTGCGGTAGAGGGTGGCCGAGGGGGGCTGCGCCGCCCCCCTCACGACGCTGTCGGCGAGCAGCGTGCTGTACAGGTGACCCGCGCTGTGCGGACGCAGCAGCGAGCTCGTGAGCAGCTGATTGGCCACCAGGCCTGCCCGGTGGCGCCGGATATGACAAAGAGTGGGATGGAGTTGGTTTTAACCGGACCGGAGTTGAGTCGTTTCATCCGGGCCGGAGTAGAGCGGAGTGGAGTGGAATGACGTGGAGTGGAAGGACGTGGAGCGGAATGACGTGGAGTAGAGCGGAATGACGTGGAGCGGAATGACGTGGAGCGGAGGTGGTTTTGGCCGGACCGGACGTCGAAAGGAGTAGAACACAGGGTACGGCCGAGTGGACCGGAATGGAGCAGAGTTGACCAGAGTGGAGTAGAGTGGAAATGGAATGGAGTTTTTTTGTTTGTTTGATCAAACCGTATTGGAGCAGAGTCAAGTGGCAGTGCAATAGAATTCTAGACCGGAGTGGGATTTAATGGACCGGAGTGGCCGTTGATTAGAGTGGTATGGAACGGATCACCGTGCATTGGAGTGGAGTTTAAAGGACCAGAGCAGAGTAGATCAGAGTGGAATGGAGTAGATTTTGGGTGACAGAGAAAGAAAGGAGTGGACCGCATCAGACCAGGCCGCAGTGGAGGGTAGCGGAGCGGACCGCGGTGGAGAAGACCGGAGCGGATTGGAGCGGAGCAGTGTGATCCGGAGTAGATCAGACCGGACCCGAGCAGAAAGGAAAGAGGATAAAAAATAAATGAACAAAAGACAGACGAGCAGCCGCGAGTACAACAACGGTCACGTGGACGAGACGGACACACGGACACAAACGTACACACGCTTACGCAAAGAGGTCCTGGGAAACCCATCACAGACTGTTGGGGCAAGTGCCAAGGGCTGTTAGCGAGCACCTATTAATGCTGGCACAGCGTCACAATTGTCATCACCGCCTCGTACGCCAAAGACAAAGATTCTCCTTATATCCTTAACAAACTGTCGGGGCAAGTGCTGTTAGCGAGCACCTATGAAGGCCAGCATGGGGGTGGGTGGCCCGCATCACGCCAGGCGCCTTCGTCTCCCCGGTGGCGATGTTGAGTCACCGCAGCAAACGCTCGTCTAAGGCCGAGCCGAGCTAAAGGAGGCCCAGGACCCGTCCACATGTCACTCGCTACTGACGTTGGCCGAGAGAACAGGAATCAAACTCAGGTCACCGGGTTCGTAGGCCAGTGGAATCGAGGGTTAGAGGCACCGACACACAAACTGACACATTGTGTTAGTTTGTTGTCCTTCCCCCGCACCTCCGATTAGCACGGTTGGCGACGTACGGTGCGAATGAAGTTCAACGTACTGTACATACAACACACGAACCAAAACACACGAACAAACTGAGCCCAAACAACAACAACCGCCATTCGCCACCAGGTGGCGGTGACGTCACCACGGCGCTTGTGCCAGGCCAGGTGCACATTAAGGCCACGTGAATTGTCGAACGCCCGCTGACAGGAGGTCACGGGACAAGACCCAGGTGGCGCCATGGGTCGACCGACTGAGATGACCGGCCGGAGCACCACACGCGCACACGTGGACGTGTAACCGCACACATCGACACAGAAAGGCATACGGAGAGGCCTACAGACGCAGGCCGACAGGCAGACAGACAGACACGGCCCCGTACGGTCAGATGGACACAAAGACCGTTTGTCTAAAGGTCTTTTTGGCTGCTGGTTGACCCGAGGGTTCGGGAGATGAAAATGATCGAGGTGCTGGAGGGGTCAAGCGAGGACGGATTCATGGGATCCAGTAAAAATATTGGACAGGGTGATGATGAAGCGATCGAGGGATTGAATGACCGAGTCAAGGAATGATGCAGGATTTGAGAGATTGCGTGATCCCCGCACCAAGGGATCACTGGATCGCGTGATCAAAGGATTGAGGGATCAAATGCACAAATGATGAATGGAGCAATGGATCGAGTGGTCAAGAGAAGGATGGATCTTGGTAACAAGGGATCATGGGATTGAGGGGATCGATGGGTTCGAGGGAGGGATACAGGGATGGAGGGATGGAGGGATACAGGGATGGAGGGATGGAGGGATACAGGGATGGAGGGATGGACGGATACAGGGATGGAGGGATACAGGGATGGAGGGATGGAGTGATACAGGGATGGAGGGATACAGGGGATAGAGAGATGGAGGGATGGAGGGATACAGGGATGGAGGGATGGAGGGATACAGGGATGGAGGGATACAGGGGATAGAGAGATGGAGGGATGGAGGAATGGAGGGATACAGGGATGGAGGGATGGAGGGATGGAGGGATACCGGGGACACAGGGATGGAGGGATGGAGGGATACAGGGATGGAGGGATGGAGGAATGGAGGGATACAGGGATGAAGGGATGGAGGAATGGAGGGATACAGGGATGGAGGGATACAGGGGATAGAGAGATGGAGGGATGGAGGAATGGAGGGATACAGGGATGGAGGGATGGAGGGATGGAGGGATGGAGGGATACCGGGGACACAGGGATGGAGGGATGGAGGGATACAGGGATGGAGGGATGGAGGAATGGAGGGATACAGGGATGGAGGGATGGAGGAATGGAGGGATACAGGGATGGAGGAATGGAGGGATGTAGGGATGGAGGGATGGGAGCAGGGCCCTCACCGCGGTTGAGGGTGCAGCTGCTGTTGGCGTCGGCGGAGATGAAGGACGACTCCGTCTGCTTGCGCACGGTGTCGTTCCACATGCGGCGGATTCGACTCTGCAGCGCAACACGACGGCACGGAGCGGCGCGTGTCGGCGTGTGTTCGTGTGTGTGTACACGCAGCGTGCATGTGTAGTATATGTAGCGTGTAGTGTATGTAGCGTGTAGTGTATGTAGCGTGTAGTGTATGTAGCGTGTAGTGTATGTAGCGTGTAGTGTATGTAGCGTGTAGTGTATGTAGCGTGTAGTGTATGTAGCGTGTAGTGTATGTAGCGTGTAGTGTATGTAGCGTGTAGTGTATGTAGCGTGTAGTGTATGTAGCGTGTAGTGTATGTAGCGTGTAGTGTATGTAGCGTGTAGTATATGTAGCGTGTAGTGTATGTAGCGTGTAGTGTATGTAGCGTGTAGTGTATGTAGCGTGTAGTGTATGTAGCGTGTAGTGTATGTAGCGTGTAGTATATGTAGCGTGTAGTGTATGTAGCGTGTAGTGTATGTAGCGTGTAGTATATGTAGCGTGTAGTGTATGTAGCGTGTAGTATATGTAGCGTGTAGTGTATATAGCGTGTAGTGTATGTAGCGTGTAGTGTATGTAGCGTGTAGTGTATGTAGCGTGTAGTGTATGTAGCGTGTAGTGTATGTAGCGTGTAGTATATGTAGCGTGTAGTGTATGTAGCGTGCGTGCGTATCTGCGTGTTGGTAGAGTAGCGCGCGTGTGGGTACGTAGCGTGCGTGTGTGTGTGTACGTAGCGTGTGTATGTGTGCAGTGTATGTAGCGTGCGTATGTAGTATATGTAGCGTGTGTAGCGTGTGTAGCGTGCGTATGTGTGTAGTGTATGTAGTGTGTGTATGTGTGCAGTGTATGCAGCGTGCGTATGTAGTATATGTAGCGTGTGTGGCGTGTGTAGCGTGCGTATGTGTGCAGTGTATGTAGCGTGTGTATGTGTGCATTGTATGTAGTGTGTGTGTGTAGTGTATGTAGTGTGTGTATGTGTGCAGTGTATGTAGAGTGCGTATGTAGTATATGTAGCGTGTGTGGCTTGCGTAGCATGTGTAGCGTGCGTATGTGTGCAGTGTATGTAGCGTGCGTATGTAGCGTGCGTATGTAGCGTGCGTATGTAGCGTGTGTAGCGTGCGTATGTAGCGTGTGTAGCGTGCGTGTGTAGCGTGTGTAGTGTGCGTAGCGTGCATAGCGTGCGTGTGTAGCGTGTGTAGCGTGCGTGTGTAGTGTGTGTAGCGTGCGTATGTAGCGTGTGTAGCGTGCGTATCGTGTGTAGCGTGCGTGTGTAGCGTGTGTAGCGTGTGTGTAGCGTGTGTGTAGCGTGCATAGCGTGCGTACCTGCGCGTTGGGGGAGTAGCGCGTGCTGTTGGAGTGTCGCGAGTTGGAGTTTTTGGCCGAGTTGTAGGAGGAGTCGTTGCCCCAGGATCCGCAGCACTCGGCGTGCCTCAAGCACTTGCTGTACTCTTTACGCACCTGCACGGGTAGGAGGCGAGGGGTAGGGGGTCAGAGTTCAAGTCAGGCCTAGAGTTAGTGTTATATGGTGTTGAGGTTAGCGTTTTAGAGTCGGGGTTACGGTCAGGATTCGATGTCGAACCCGACGACGCCTGCTGCTGCTGTATATTTGGAGTTTGCGGTGTCTCTCTCTCATCATCATCACGGTGGCTATGAGATGTTAACTTCCTCGCCTGGTCTACAGGAGGTCGTGAGTTCGATCTCAAGCTTGTCGATGCCTGCTGCTGCTGTACATTTGGAGTTTGCGGTGTCTCTCTCTCATCATCATCACGGTGGCTATGAGATGTTAACTACCTCGCCTGGTATACAGGAGGTCGTGGGTTCGATCTCAACCCTGACTAGGCCTGCTGCTGCTGCTGCTGTATATTTGGAGTTTGCGGTGTCTCTCTCTCATCATCACGGTGGCTATGAGATGTTAACTACCTCGCCTGGTCTACAGGAGGTCGTGGGTTCGATCTCGACCTTGACGACGCCTGCTGCTGCTGTATATTTGGAGTTTGCGGTGTCTCTCTCTCGCTGCGGTTGCGTGGATTTTTTTCCCCCGGGTCCTCCGGTGTTTCCTTCCACATTTAGAATCGACGTCGTGCGTTCACAGAGTATCTGCACGCCGCTATAAATGTCCACGTGATAAGCCACTTCGTTGGGCTATCACTTGTGATGGCCAGGTCGCTTCTGCAAAAGAGCCATAAAGGTTCAGTGGGCCTTACCTGGCGAAATAAAAAGGAAGTAATTTTGCGCGATTGGTTTCCCTTTCCAATACTTTGCACTCCTATTGTGACGTTGGACTGTTTGCTGTTGTGACGCTCTGACCCGTGCCCCGGAAATCTGTGAAAAGAGCTTCATAGCTCATCGAATTCCTCCTCCATTTAATATAAAAAATTAAATTTTGTTTGTTGCGGTTGCACCCGACTTAAGAGCCGCATGGCTCACAGGGCTATACCTAATAAATGAAACTTGAAAACTTTAATATAAATATCCCGATTCTGTTTCCGATTCTGAAGAAGAGCCATATCGCTCAGTAAGCCTTACATTTTTTTTGGGTTAAATTAATTAAGAGCTGTTAAGATTTTGGGGCCACACTTCAATGTCGAAACAGAAAACGGCGCGACGGGAAAGGGCACTCGGCACCTTTTTCTGCAGAGCGCAGTGGAAGATGAAGATGAACATGCCCTGGAAGGAGTTGAAGATGGTGAAGAGGTAGGCCATGACCAGGGTGGCCTTGTCGATGAAGAGGAACCCGAACACCCAGGTGAGGCCGAGGAGGCAGAGCAGCGCCACGCCCCCCAGTGCCCAGGACCTGCGGGGAAGGAAGGAAAGAAAAAAAAAGAACCAACGACAACAACGACGTCAGAAGTCAGTGCCGTGATAAATATTGACATCGTCATCATCGTTATTATCGTCCGTGGTCGTCGTCGTCATTAACTTACCAGCACCCGACACGTACGCACGTTGAGCTACTTCTCGCGAGCCGCCCGTAGCCAACCGTGCTAATCGGAGGCGCGGGGGAAGGACAACAAACTAAAAGCGCAAAAAATGCAGTTCTGAAGAAAGTGAGATTTGAAACTAAATTTAACAGCCCATGAGTAAGACACAGCCAATTAGCAAGGTTTGTCACGTGAACAAAACGTGGCGATTAGCTTCCTAATTCAGCGCATCGGTGTGATGGAGAGTAAACCCACACCATTAGCCATTTGAATATGACGTTGGTGGTGGTGGGTTAACGATACATTTAAATTTACGCGATCCAAACCAAAAAAAAAACCTCATTGGTTATATTTCGATTTAAAGCTTTCGTGACTGCAATGATTCATCTTCTTTGGTTCTTTCGGTAAAGTCACGTAGAATGATAATAAAATAATAAATTGATAAAATAAAATAACACAATAATATTCCCACGACGTTTCGGCCACAACACAAGCGGCCTTCATCAGGTGAAGGGGGGCGAGACTGTCTGGTAGGACAGCGCTGGAGTGAAAGAGCCACGTTCAGATCACGGCCTTTAAGCTGTGTGAGAGGAACAAAGCGCCTTGACAAAGGAATTGGTTATGAATAATAATGGTCGCGAAGGCTAAGATGCATTAAAAATTGAGCCTTGAAACCGTCTTCGCCACGAATTTCGAGGCTGCGTAAGTTTCCGTAGATTCGGAGGTGAGGAGGCGGTCAGAACTGCCGCTAATGACAACATCGTCGATATTGTTATCGATGCTATCGTCTGCATTGGCGTCATTATCATCATCGTCGTCGTCGTCATCATCATCATTCGTTATCTTAGCCGCGAGGATCATCAATGCTGTCATTTAAAATCAACATGCGCTCAGGGTATTTGTCTGCTAGAAATGTCCACGTGATGAGCCACTCAGTTGAGCTATCATTTGTGATAGCCGGTGGCGTCTGACAAAAGAGCTGTATGGCTGAGTGGGCCTTAGTTTAATCAGCGTCTCGTCGCTATCATCAACGATATCACCATCAGCGGGGCCGCAAATGACGATCGACCGTCACTGCAAGCACCTTAGTTACACTAATCGGGTACCAGAGGGGCAATATTTTAGGCCTGGCAACAACAACCAAAACAACATCTGTGTTTACCATTTTAGCGCACTCAGTCAAATCACTGCTGTCACAGCAAGGACTACTTGCGAGGGGAGCCACGGTGGCGAGATGTCATCCCCCTCGCCTGGTATGCAGGAGGTCGTGGATTCAATCGCGACCCTGACGCCTGCTGGTGTATATCTGGAGTTTGCGTGTCTCTCTCCCTGCGGTCGCGTGGAATTTTTTTCTCCGGGTCTTTCGGTTTGTCCCTCCACATTTAGAAACATGCTTTGAGCTGATTTAGATCATGTGGTTGCTATAAATGTCCACGTGATAAGCCACCTCGGTGAGCTGTCATTTGTGGCCAGGTGGCTTCTGAAAAAAAAAAAATCATCTAACGGCCACAGTGGGCTTTACCTGGTAAGATAAAATAGTTTATTTTTGTGACTTTTGCTTACTTTTCCTATACTTTGCACTCCCATCGTGCGTTCGTATTGTTTGCTGTTGTAACTTTCTGACACCGTGCCCCCCAACTGGACATCTGTGAACAAAAGAGCTTCATAGCTCATCGGATTCCTCCGCCAGTAAAGAAGATTCCGACTCTCTTTTCACTTGACGCGGCACTTTTTAGGGAAGCATCTCCCGCGTAAAGCGAGGGATTAATGGTACAGCAAAAAAAAAAGTCAAAGCTGTTTCCTGCTCAAATGGGCATCGAGGCCACTGGTGCTCATCTCCCGCTTAAAGCCCTGCGCCGGGTGTGTGGGAAATTCCACGTTCCTATGGTGGGGAGGTGACTGCTCTGGTCTCTTGAGTTCTCATGGAATTCCTCAACCCTCCTCCAGTCTAAATAAAGATTCCGGTAACGATTCCGATTGAACCTCGCGCACGGTTGGCGGGCGGCCGTCGGCAACACCACCGCACACGACACGCGCCCTGTCGGGGGGGGGGGGGGTCGTGCGACGGCGACGTGCTGGCAAACGTGCGGGCGTCCGAAAGTCACGATCGCCCTCCACCTCCCCCCCCCCCCCCCCCCCCCCCCGGTGAATGAATGCAAATTCCACCCGGCCCCCCCGTCCCTACCCCGCCACCCCCCCCCCCCCCACCCACCCCGGCTTTCAACGTCGTCCTTCTCGAGCGTCGCGGATAAAGAGGCGGGCGCCAGCGTGTTAGATGGTCGTCAGGCTCGCCAAGCCCGAGCGAGCGAGCGGGAGAAAGCGTGCGAGAGAGAAAGCGAATGGAGCATGTGACGGTGAGAAGCGTGATACGGGCCTGAGGGCCGGAGGCGAGGGGGGCCGTGGGGGGGGGAGGTAGGGAAAAGGAGAGAGAGAGAGAGGGAGGGATGCCCAAATGTGGGCAGAAATCACGGAAAAATACTTACCTGATGAACTCTCTGTTATCCGGAGAGCTGAGAGCGGGCGGGGCGGGGGGAAAGGGGGAGGCAGGAAAGGAGGGCCACGCAGCACACACAGAAAGTTACTTAGCAGAGTGTGTTGGCGACACGGGAGGATTAAACTGCCTGCTCAAACAGATAGGGGGGGGGGGGGGGGGGGTGGCGGTGACGTTGGCAGTGCGAGCGGCCGTCACGGGGCTCTCGGGCGTCCACAGGCGACGTCGCCAAAACAGAGCCACGCACGGCCCCGCGGGGAGACGCTGGCAAACGAACGGATGGATGGGCAGACGGACAAATAGACGGATGGACAGACGGACGGATAGACGGATGGACAGACCGACGGATAGATGGATGGGCAGATGGACGGACGGAGAGGTGGATGGGCAGATGGACGCATGGATTAAACTAACCTATTTTTATGTTACCAGGTAAGGCTCACTGAGCAATATTGATATTTTTAAGAAGCGACTTGGCCACAAATTACATCCGAATTAAGTTGCTTATCACGTGGACATTTATAGTGGCAAAATGCTCTAAATGCGCGATTCTAAATGTGAAGGAAAAAACCGGGAGACCCGGAGAAAAATCCACGCTACCACGGGGAGAGAGAGAGAGACACCGCAAACTCCAAATATACAGCAGGCGTCAGGGTCGGAATCGAACCCATGACCTCCTGTATACCGGGTGAGGGAGTTAACATCTCACCATCCCAATGGATGGGCAGAGAGCCGGATGGATGTGACTGATAGTTAGATGGGCGGATCACCAGATGAACCAGCAGACAAACGGAAAGATGCATGGCCGTAGAGACGTACGCGTACGGAGCGATTAAACTGTCTGCCCACAGATACGGGAGTCACACCGCCAGCGGGAATGCCAGCGCTCTCAGTCGGCGTCACTGAGCGCCAGCACTTTGAGAGGGCATCGTCAGTGGTCACCCTGGGCCCACTCCGACATCGCCACTGCGTGGAGTTCTATCGCTGTGCAGGAAAGCTCAGTTGCTGCATTGGACGGTCGGATCACGAGTCACATGGATTGGACGGACAAAGGAATGGATGGACAGGCAGACGGACAGATAGATGGACAGAGGGAAGATGGGATAAGCGGACAGATGGTCAGATGGATGGATGAGTGAAGATAGCTCAAAAGAGGGACTTGTATGTATGTTTGTTGAATTATTAGGCACCGTATGTAGCCAACCGTGCTCATCGGAGATGCGGGGGAAGGTCAACAAACTAAACACAAAAAGTAGTTCTAAAGAAATTCGTTTTCAACCTCGATGATGACTTCAAAGTGCATAGCTCCCAGTGGCTTCCTAATATCAGAAGGAAGAGCGCGTTCCAGACGGCCGTAGAAGCGCATCTGAAAGCGCGCGATGCAGTTCGATGGTCAGCCAGAAGCCGCCGCTGCGAGGATGACCGGACCTCACGTGATGGCGTTTACGCCCCTTGACGAGACTTTTACACGGACAGCCGCACGGACAGACGGAGACGCACACGCAGGCGCCGGAAGCCAGGCAGACGAGAAAGCGCGCGCGAGACGAGGTGCAGACACGGCGCGAGGACACGTCGCCAAGGCAGGCCTTACCCAGGCAGGTCAGTGTTATAGTATCCGTCACACACGGGGTGACTGAACGGGGCGCGGGGGCAGAGGTGGCACAGGAGCAAGGAGAGCAGAGTTAGAGACGCGAGGCGTGGGGGGAGGTTGGGGGGAGGGGGGGGAGAAGATCGCGGCAGGTGGGAAGAACCAACGAAGATTCTCTCGGGCGAGCGATTTATGTACGTTGAACTCTTTCGACGCCCTGCGTAGCCAACTGTGCTAATCGGAGGTGTGCGACTGGTCGGAACGAGCCTGTCTAGAGGCCGGGGCTCCCCCCCGAAACGGCGTGCGTGCGGTGTAACGGAGTCCCCGCGTGGAACGGGGGTAGGTTGTGGGTGTTTTTGGTTGTTGTTGCGAGGACCCATAAAATTCGAAGAGAAATTTGATGCAAATTGAAAAAAACAAAGCTCAATAACCGAGCGACGCGCAAAGCGGAGCCGCCGCGGCGAGGGAGAGATCTCTCCCTCGCCTTCTGCGCGAGAGGTTCGTGGGTGGTTCAATCCCGGACCCCGACGATGCCTGCCTGTGCTACACCTGAAGTCCGCGTGCTCTCACGCTCTCTCTCTCCCCGTGGTGGTCGCTTGGATTTTTCTTCTCCGGGTTCCTCCCCCAGTTTTGCCACCCCCACGAGGTGTCCCCTACACACACCCCCCCCCCCCCTCATATAAACGATATATGTACGCATTGACTTTCTCGTATATAAGGGGACCTCTCTCTAATTCGTGAACATTTTAGATGAAGAAATTCAATAACAGAACTTTCACAGCGGGCGGTGTAACGTCAACTCGTGTTTTGGCGAACGAACCCAGAAAGCAGACATCGCAGAACTATTTCTGGAGTCGCACAGAAAGACCTATTAACCCTTCTCCGTCCCAAGAAGTCTGCAGGTTGCAGGGTGGGTGTATCGTTCACCTCTGATTCTCGGAACGCAAATACGGCTCGGCATTAATTGTATTTAGAGAGGCGTAGTAAATACCGTTGTTCTTAAAGACATTGTTAGTCGCCGCAGACAACTGTAAAGACACGACCGCACTCTATGATAAGCTGGCGGGCCAAACTGTGCCACACGCCCCCTCCCGCATGGCCTTGTAGGAGCATCGTTACCGATAAAGTTAAGTGATTTTAGTTTTTCTTCCGGTTTCGTTTTAACGATGCATGTCACCGGAACGGGGAAGGGTTAAAGTAACGCAAGCAGGTGCACGACTTATAAATCCCTTGCAAGGGGCGATTGTTACACGATGGGTCAGAGCGAACCTATGGTCCCCGAGAAGCTGCATTGAGCTCGTTAAAGCGAAACCCGAATTTCAAAACGACGGTTACATTTTTGTGCAGCAGTCATTGGCGACCGTGGCTGAGAACCACCAATATTCGCTCGCGAAAACCGGAACACTCCAGGCTCAATCACGGGTGGCTGGGGCCCAGTCGGTTGAACGAAAAGGCGAGGGAGGGCCCAAATGTAAAAAAGTGGGCTGGCGGGGAGACTGCCAGCTTCACCCACCGTGTGTGCCGGCAGAGCCTCCCGGAAAATGCGGTCGCTTTAAGTGATGAACCCCCCCCCCCCCGCTTTCCTCTCCCCCCCACACCCGTCCACATCACTCACTTAATGTTCTCGAGTCGGTTGCCATCGGGCTTGAGTGGAGCCGAATGCTGCAGCATCTTGTACAGAGTAATCAGCAGGAACACGAAGTTCACCTGTGACACCACACGCGCGCCACGCATACGAGTCAGCAGTCCATAAGACGTTTTTTTTTTTTGGGGTTAAATCGCTTGAACGTAAATGTGTCGTTAAACCCGTCACCGCCGCCACCCGGCCACAGGCAATTGGTAAGGTTTGTCGCGTCAACAGAACGTGCCAATTCGTTGCTAGTTCAGCGCACCGGTGTGTTGGAGCGTAAACCCATAGCAACATTTACAATTCGAGCAGCGCGACGTTTCGCCGGTAATTACAAAAACAACAACAACAATAACAGGCATCGTCAGGCGATAGCCAGAATTGCGGAGAATTCCTCCTCCTGTTTCGATCTTAAACAGAGGCGTAGAGGTGATGTCGTCACTTGTGAGCCTATCAGGTGCGAAGATCAGAGGCGGGTGAATGTAGTCAATGTAAATTGCAATGGATGCCTATAATTTCGGGTTATTTAAAACGAGTTGAAACCAAGTTAACTTTCCAGGCTACGGTGACGGCAGTGGGCTTGGTCCACATTAACGTCGCATTTTCACTCTAACACGGTTGTTGCACGTACTGATGTTGAACTTCTTTCACACCGTACGTAGCCGACCGTGCTAATCAGAGGTGCGGGACTGCCAGCTCACCATACTGGCTGAGCCTCCCTTTCATTAGGGAAGACTTTTCTCACAACGCGGAACGTGCGCACCGTTATAATGCGGTTTCTGAGCGGTCGACGGTGAACTGCTTTCTGGAACGGTACGGGAATTCTGGGTATATACGCGTGGAATGTTACGGTTATTTGTGTGCGTGCGTACAACGTATCTTGCCACACTTGGCAAACTTTATCGTGACATTACTTCTTATGGGGATTATTTAGATAATTTGGCTGCTATAAATTTCCAATTGATAAGCCAATTACTTTGTTGCTTCTAAAAAAAAGATGCTAATAACTCAGTGGGCCTTACCTGGTAAAATAAAAACTAGTTTTTTTTACACCAGATTTCCTTTCCTATACTTTTCACTGCTATCGTATTTTTGTACCGTTTGTTGTTGCAACGTTCTGACCCCGTGCCCCTGACTAGACATCTGTGAACAAAAGAGCTTTATAGCTCATCGGATTCCTCCTCCAGTAGTAATAAATATTCCGACTCTCTCTTCGCTGAACGCGGCGCTTTTCAGGAATTCTTCGACCGCGTTAAGCGAGGAATTAATGGGACAACCAAAGAGTCAAAAAGTTATTTCCTGCTCAAATTGGCATTGAGGCCACCGGTGCTCATCTTCCCATTGACAACCCTGAGCCGGTCGTGGGAAATTCCACATTCCTATGGTGGGGGGGGGGGGGGGCGAGTCTTTTCAAAAGACAACCTGGTGACTCCAAAGTTCAACATGTGAAAGAAGTTCAGCATACCCAGTACATACAGACGTTAGCGTGGCAATCAGAGGTGCTCGCCTGCAATTCGCGTTTTAGATCTGGACGGGATTTTGGCACGAGACGATTTCGGGAATTCACGTTCAAGACGAATGTGGGAATCGCATCAGATTCAGCACGGGAACTCTCACACACACGTACGTCGAGCGGCAGACACAGCGACGCGTCTCACTGGCGGGGGAACGACGCCGGAAGCTTCACCGCGACCCACCCACCACCCCCCCCCCCCCCCCGTCCCCGGCACAATGCGCACGCACGGTACTCACGAGGATGATGGCGGCCACGGGCGCGAGGAAACTCCAGATGAAATGATTGTCGGTCCTGAGCCAACAGCTGCAGAACGGAAGAGAGGACAAACGATCGCCTGGTTAGCCTGCCAGGCCGAGATAGCGCTGCACGTATCTGGTTTCATTCGCCAGTTATTTGGTAACATTTGCCACCGTTCAGTAGCACTTGAGCCACCCATCTGGTAACATCGGGGCACATTTGTGTCATTTGTTGCATGTGACGGCATTCCATACATCTGGTGAGGCCGGGCGCCAGCCGGCAAGGCCGGGCGCCAGCCGGCAAGGCCGGGCGCCAGCCGGCAAGGCCGGGCGCCAGCCGGCAAGGCCGGGCTCCAGTTAGCAAGCCGGGGCGCCAGCCGGCAAGACCCCGGGCGCTGTCCCCGGCACGAGGGGCGGCGGCGGCGGCGGCGGCGGCGGGACTCACGCTCGCTCGGTGCCGTAGCCCGTGTAGTCGACGGCGAGGGAGACCCCGACGACGGTGAGCGGCAGGCCGTAGCCCAGGAGGTAGAAGTACTTGCGGCGTGCGCGGCGCCCCTCGAACACCTCCACCAGCATGAGGTAGAGCTGCACGCCCTCGAGGCACATCCACGCAAACGCCGCCAGGAAGAACAGGTGCAGCAGCGCCGCCAGGATGGAGCACGCCACCTGTGGAGCCAGCGCAGTGGGGTGGGCGGTTGGTGTTTATACAGAATCGGAATCTTTATTTGGACGTGGAGGGGAGGAAATCCGATGAGCCGAGAAGCTCTTGTCTCACAGATGTCCACCGGTAGGGGGTCACGGGGGTCACTACGAAACAACGCGATAGGAGTGCAAAGGTAGAGGAAAGGTGAACACATCACGAATGAAAAAATTAACCATTTTTATTTTCCCCAGGCAAAGCTGTTACACAATTTGCTTCAGAAGCGAGTGCAAAATTGAGAAAGTGGTAAGCAAGTGGCTAAACGTGAACGGAACATTATTCAAATATAAACGTGCATAATTTATTTATCTATCAAGATTGGGCAAGGCAGCAAAAACAAGGAAACGTTCTCAGACCACACCAAGGTAACACCACACAGCCGGAGTCGCTCAGTAACACGGAGAGCCTCGCCAGGGAGAGTGGGCGAGCGAGACGGTGGCTCCGCAGGGTCGGTGGGTCAGCGGCTAAGCACGTGAGATGGTGAGCGAGTGAGAGGACGGTAAGAAAGAGCGGGTTGGTGGGCGAAGTGGGTGAGTGGATTAAAGGGCGAGTGGGTGAAAGGATGAGTGGATGACCACGAGGGTGAGTTGGTGAACAGCGGGACTTTGGTTCGAGGGCGAGTGAACGGCAGTGCGAGCTAGCAAGAGGGTGAGTGGACGACAGTGTAAGTGGGTGAGCTTGTGAGCGTGTCAGTGGGTGAGCGTGTGAGTGGGTGAGTGCGTGAGTTGGGTGAGTGTGTGAGCGGGTGAGCGTGTGAGTGGGTGAGTGCGTGAGTTGGGTGAGTGTGTGAGCGGGTGAGCGTGTGAGCGTGTGAGTGGGTGAGTGCGTGAGATGGGTGAGTGTGTGAGCGGGTGAGCGTGTCAGCGTATGTGCGAACGAAATAGCAAGCGGCAGAGAGGAGCAGTGGGCAAGATGGGACAGTGGGCGAGAACGAGTGGGTAAACGTGTGAGCGGAAGAAAGAGCGCCACTGTGAGTGGGTGAGCGGGCGAGACACACGGAGAGAGAGAGAGAGGAAGACTGAGCGCATCAAGAGCAAGCAAGAGGATCGAGTGGGTGAGCGAGTGGGTGAGAGGACGGGCGAGTGGGCGAGCGTGGGTGAGTAGGTGAGTGGGTGAGTAGGCGAGTGGGTGAGAAGACAAGTTGGAAGGAGTGGGCAATAGGGAGGGAGCGGGTGGGCAGGCGGGCGAGTGGGTGAGTAGGTGAGTGGGTGAGTGGGCGAGTGGGTGAGTGGGCGAGTGGGTGAGTAGGTGAGTGGGTGAGTAGGTGAGTGAGTGAGTAGGTGAGTGGGCGAGTGGGTGAGTAGGTGAGTGGGTGAGTAGGTGAGTGGGCGAGTGGGTGAGTGAGTGAGTAGGTGAGTGGGTGAGTGGGTGAGTGGGTGATTAGGTGAGTGGGTGAGTGGGTGAGTAGGTGAGTGGGTGAGTGGGTGAGTAGGTGAGTAGGTGAGTGGGTGAGTAGGTGAGTGGATGAGTGAGTGAGTGGGCGAGTGGGTGAGTGGATGAGTGGGTGAGTGGGTGAGTAGGTGAGTGGGTGAGTGGGTGAGTATGTGAGTGGGTGAGTGGGTGAGAAGACAAGTCGGTGGGAGTGGGCAAGAGGGAAGGAGCGGGCGGGCAGGCGGGCGAGTGGGCGAGTGGGTGAGTGGGTGAGTAGGTGAGTGGGCGAGTGGGTGAGTAGGTGAGTGGGCGAGTGGGTGAGTGGGTGAGTGGGTGAGTAGGTGAGTGGGTGAGTGGGTGAGTAGGTGAGTGGGCGAGTGGGTGAGTAGATGAGTGGGCGAGTGGGTGAGTGGGTGAGTAGGTGAGTGGGTGAGTAGGCGTAAAGACAAGTCGGTGGGAGTGGGCAAGAGGGAGGGAGCGGGCGGGCGCACCGTGTACTGAGTCTTGTCGATGCCTAGCAGGAAGAGGAGCTCAGCGAGCAGCAGGTTGAGGCACAGGTTCTTGTGGATGGTGTTGCGGTCACTCTGGAGGCCGCGGAAGAAGCAGAAGGTGAAGGTGGCCATGGCGAGGCACACGAGGGACACCAGCACGCCCACCCACGTGATCACCAGCAGCAGCAGCTCGTGGGCGCGGTCCCCGTACTGGCACGCACGGGACACACGGGGGCGTGAGGATGCCGTGGGCAGGTGCACGGATGTACAGTGAGGGAAAAAAAGTATTTGATCCCCTGCTGATTTTGTACGTTTGCCCACTGACAAAGAAATGATCAGTCTATAATTTTAATGTTAGGTTTATTTGAACAGTGAGAGACAGAATAACAACAAAAAAATCCAGAAAAACGCATGTAAAAAAATGTTATAAATTGATTTGTATTTTAATGAGGGAAATAAGAATTAAGAATTTGACCCCTCTGCAAAACATGACTTAGTACTTGGTGGCAAAACCCTTGTTGGCAATCACAGAGGTCAGACGTTACTTGTAGTTGGCCACCAGGTTTGCACACATCTCAGGAGGGATTTTATCCCACTCCTCTTTGCAGATATTCTCCAAGTCATTAAGATTTCGAGGCTGACGTTTGGCAACTCGAACCTTCAGCTCCCTCCACAGATTTTCTATGGGATTAAGGTCTGGAGACTGGCTAGGCCACTCCAGGACCTTAATGTGCTTCTTCTTGAGCCACTCCTTTGTTGCCTTGGCCGTGTGTTTTGGGTCATTGTCATGCTGGAATACCCATCCACGACCCATTTTCCATGCCCTGGCTGAGGGAAGGAGGTTCTCACCCAAGATTTGACGGTACATGGCCCCGTCCATCATCCCTTTGATGCGGTGAAGTTGTCCTGTCCCCTTAGCAGAAAAACACCCCCAAAGCATGTTTCCACCTCCATGTTTGACGGTGGGGATGGTGTTCTTGGGTTCATAGGCAGCATTCCTCCTCCTCCAAACACGGCGAGTTGAGTTGATGCCAAAGAGTTCCATTTTGGTCTCATCTGACCACAACACTTTCACCCAGTTGTCCTCTGAATCATTCAGATGTTCATTAGCAAACTTCAGACGGGCATGTATATGTGCTTTCTTGAGCAGGGGGACCTTGCGGGCGCTGCAGGATTTCAGTCATTCACGGCGTAGTGTGTTACCAATTGTTTTCTTGGTAACTATGGTCCCAGCTGCTCCTCACCGTTCTCATGATCATTGCAATTCCACGAGGTGAGATCTTGCATGGAGCCCCAGGCTGAGGGAGATTGACAGTTCTTTTGTGTTTCTTCCATTTGTGAATAATCGCACCAACTGTTGTAACCTTCTCACCAAGCTGCTTGGCAATGGTCTTGTAGCCCATTCCAGCCTTGTGTAGGTCTACAATCTTGTCCCTGACATCCTTGGAGAGCTCTTTGGTCTTGGCCATGGTGGAGAGTTTGGAATCTGATTGATTGCTTCTGTGGACAGGTGCCTTTTATACAGGTAACAAGCTGAGATTAGGAGCACTCCCTTTAAGAGTGTGCTCCTAATCTCAGCTCGTTACCTGTATAAAAGACACCTGGGAGCCAGAAATCTTTCTGATTGAGAGGGGGTCAAATACTTATTTCCCTCATTAAAATGCAAATAAATTTATAACATTTTTGACATGCGTTTTTCTGGATTTTGTTGTTATTCTGAATCTCACTGTTCAAATAAACCTACCATTAAAATTATAGACTGATCATTTCTTTGTCAGTGGGTAAACGTACAAAATCAGCAGGGGATCAAATACTTTTTTCCCTCACTGTATCAGGATCTTCTTTCGCCAAGTACGTAGCCAACCGTGCTCATCGGAGGTGCGGGGGAAGGACAACAAACTAAACACAAAAAGCAGTTCTTAAATAAATTAGTTTTTAATTGGGATTTAAATCGAAAAAGGTGGACAACGAATGACAAAGATCCCCCGTATAGGCTTTAACAGACTGTTGGGGCAAGTGCTGTTAGCAAGTAGCAGCACCTATGAAGGCCGGCACGGCACACGAGGGGGTGGGTGGCCAGCACCACGCCCGGCCGCCTTTGTCTCCCCGGTGGCAGGATGTTACAGGACCCAGGTATTATGGGTTGATGGAGATTACAGATGCACCAACTGTGCTCCACACTCAACTTTCTGCATTTTAGTCACCCGGCACTCTGCTCATTGTTATGAGCATCGCTCCACACACAAAGATCCCCCGAATAGCCTTAACAGACTGTTGAGGCAAGTCCTGTTAACGAGCACCTATGAAGGCTGGCACGGCACACGAGGGGGTGGGTGGCCAGCACCACGCCAAACCATCTTTGTCTTCCCAGTCACGATGTTTACACACCGCACCAGGTACTCATTTGAGGCTGAGTCGACTGAGGGGAGGCCCAGGACCGGTTCAGATTATTCATCTGTCGCTGGTGTTGGTGGCCATGAGTGGGAATTGAACTCGGGTCGCTGGGTTCGTAGCGCAGCACCCTAACCGCTAGGCCACCGCCCCCCCACAACATAAACATTACCATCATCAAATCAACTACTACCACCACCACCACCTCATCTCACCACCTCATCCAAACTTACCAGCTCCAACACCACCTCCAATCACCAACTTCACAAACCTCACCACCCTCACCTCATCTAAATTTACCGCCACCAACATCATCACCTTAACCTCCAATCATCCACCCTGAACACTTTCACCTCATCTTCAATTTCAGTTTCATTTATTTGGTATAGCCCTAAAGTTAGCACCACCACCACCACCACCACCTTCACCAACAATCACCACCCTCACCGCCACCACCACTACATCCAAACTTTACCACCACCAACATCACCACCATCACCTCCAATCACCACCCTCACCACACTCACCACACTCACTCACAACACTCACTCACCACACTCACTCACCACACACACCACACTCACCACATTTACACACCACACTCACCACATTTACACACTCACCACACTCACCACATTTACACACCACACTCACCACATTTACACACTCACCACACTCACACACTCACCACACTTACACACCACACTCACCACACACACTCACCACACTCACTCACCACACTCACCACACACTCACCACACTCACACACTCACCACACTTACACACCACACTCACTCACCACCCTCACCACCCTCACCACCACCACCACCAGCGAGCCGAGGGCCCCCCCCCCCTCACCCCGAATCTCTCGGTACCTCGATGTCGTGCCTGGCCATGAGCACCGCGAAGTTGGTGAGGTGGTTGCAGGAGCAGGTGGTGTGCGTGCTGTTGGTGGACAGCAGCTTGCAGCCGTGGCTCGACCAGTGGCCCCTCATGGTGTGGGACGAGTAGTTCCAGAAGGAGCAGCTGGGGCTGAAGTGGTCCGATGTCTGGGGGGGGCGGGGGGGGGGGGCGGGTACGGGGGAGGAGGACGGCGCCCAACTCGTCATTCAAGGGCCGCTCTTAAAGAGTCTCGGAATCAGCGGCAGTGGCAGCATCGTCATCATCATCAGCAACAGCAACAGCAGCAGCAGCAGAAGCGCCGTCATCATTAGCAGCAGCACTATCATGGGCAGCAGCAGCAGCAGCAGGCAGAAGCAGCGTCATCATCATCATCAGCAGCAGGGGCGGCAGCAGAAGCGTCATGAGCAGCGTCCTCATCATCAGCAGCAGCAGCAGCGTCATCGGCAGCAGCGACAGCGTCAACCAACAGTGGCATTGCTGGTTAAAGTGGAAGCATCGGATGCAGCAGCAGCAGCGGTGGCAATATTCGCAGCATCAGCAGCAAAGGTAACAGCAGTGATTGCAGGAGCAGCAGCAACAGCAGCAATAACAGCAGTATCAAGATCAGCTGAAACAAGAGCAGCAGCAGCAGTGTCAGCAACAACAGCAGAATCAGCATCATCATGAGCAGAATGAGCATCATCATGAGCAGAATGAGCATCACCAGTTACTGGAAGGGTCCCGGCAGCACGGCCCTGTCCCACTATCTAGCCGCTGTGGAAGCGCGGCATCGCCGCCGGTGGTGGGGAATCAAAACCGAGGCATCTCTCAGCCGTGCCCGAGACTCAGCAGCGGCGTCTCCCACGTGACCATTGTGAACCCTGCCAGCTGAGCAAGCGACGACCCCGGGTGCCCGGGCCCCCCCTCCCACACCCCCACCCCCGAAGCTCACTACCCCACCCCCTGTCCCCCCCCCCCCACCCACCCCCAGTCCCACCCTCCCCACCCAAGCTCACTACCCCCACCACCCATCCCCCCCCCAACTCCAACCTCACCCACCCCCTCCCCACCCCCCCCCGCCCCACACCCCCGGGCCCCCTCCACGAGCTCACCACGTTGTGCTTGAGCGTGAAGACGACGGGCTCGCTGAGGAACACGTGGTTCGACTCCTTGTTGATGGAGGCGGAGATGATGGGCGAGTTGACGACGAGGGAGCGGTTGCTCTGCTGCGACGCGTTGGCCGGCAGCGTGGCGTTGTCCGTGCTCAGGAAGAGCGCCAAGTTGTCGTACGTGGTGAACACCAGCTTCGTCACACCTGCGCGCCCACAAAGAGAAGATTCGGAACGTTGATTTACGCTGGAGGAACCCCATGAGCTATCAAGCTCTTTTCTTTTTTTTTTTCTTCTTCTTTTCCCAACGGATTTACTTCACTTGATTCCTGTGTTTGTCGCGGTCAAATCTTGTAAGCCAAATTTCGTCCAACTTCCCGTTGTCCAATCAATTACACATTTTTGCACACGGCACTCCGATCCGGTGACGATGCACGCCTGTATCAAAATCGGCATCAATTGATCAATGAATTCGCTACTTTAAAGCAATTGACATTTTGTATGGACGCCCTTATCATTTATATATATATATTTGTGTGTAGGTCAAAAACGCCGCGGTCCCTAAACTGTGGAATCGGCTCGCACCAAACGCAGGCGCGCCGCGTGTCTCAGGCGCCATTGACGCACTTCTCAAAAGACCGTGAGTTCAACGAAGTTGTTAATAATAAAACCGTCGTTTTAAAAACAAAAAAACTCTTTTAAAGGAGTTTATTTTTACAGATGTCCAGTCGGACAGCAGAACATCTCTCCGTTCTCTCCCTGCTCTCTCCACGCTCTCTCACCACTCTATCCGCACTCTCGCTCCGCTCTCACTTCGCTCTCCCTCCGCTCTCCCTCCACTCTCTCTACCCCCCCCCCCCGGCACCGCTGAATGCGACCACCGCAGCTCACCGTTGCGGCTGTTCAGTTTGATGGAGTTTGCCGTGAGCGTGATGCGGTTCCCAGAATGCCACGGGGTCGTAGCGCCACCACGGCCGCCGCCGCCGCCGCCGCTGTCGGGGCGATCCGAATTGCCGGCCCTCTCGGTCGCCTCGTCGCGGGGGAACGTGAAGTCCTGCAGCGGCCCCTCCGTGTTCAGCACCGACACCGTGAGCACTGAGGACGGGGGGAGGGGCGGGTGGGGGGGTGGGGGTGGGGGGAAGCGGGGTGGGGGGGAGGAAAAATGGGGTGAGGACGGATGTAGAATTCCATCAAATAATTCCCCAAGAAAATGAGGGGGCCCGTGAATGAACACACGTTGTTGTTCATTCACAACTCCATTTGAGTTTATGGGTGTCTGTTTGGAGTCCGTGAGTCTTTAAGTCAGTCTATGGGCCTCTATACAAGCCGTCATCTATGTGAGCCGTGGGTGAGGGGGCCGACACCATCCACTCACTACACTCGAGATGCCGGTTTAACCTTTTCCCATTCCGATGGCGTACGTCACCATCATCAGTTTTTCTTCCGATTCCGTTCCGATGACGTACACGGACGTCTTCAGGTCGGAAGATGTACCGAGGCCTCCCGCAAGGCACACGCAGGAGGCCGTGTGGCACAGTTTGGCGCCAGCTATCGTAGAGTGGCGGTGGCCGTGTCGCTACGGTTCTCTGCGGTGATTAACGACGCCTTTAAAGGCAACGGCGCTGCCACGCCGCTCTGAAAGAAAACTGAACGCAGGGCCGCTTGCGCGTTCCGAGATTCAGCGGTGAACTCCGACCCCGGAACTTTAAGATGTCTCGGAACGGGTAAAAGGGTTTATCAGCATGCTCGGGCCCAACTTTAATCCCCAAGCCGAACAGACGGAACTCACCATCTTCAACCCCCCGCGTCCCACGCCACTCGGCCACCTCAACACAACCCTCGCCGGCTCCCGCGCTGACCCTTGACCCAACCCCCACCCCGAAACGGCCGCCCACTGCCGGCGCGCGAACCCTGGGCACCGCTCCCCCCCCCCGGCCCCCCCGCCCCCCCCCCGTACCGACGTTGTCGGCGGCAACGGTGACGTTGTCGGGGTGCAGGAGGTGGTCGGCGAGCACGAACGCCGCTTCCTCCACGGAGTCGGCAAGCAGCGTGGCGGTGTGCGCTCGCTCCGTGCCGTTCATGTCGCGCCACGCCCACACGGCGTCCTCGCGCAGCAGGTTGCTCACCACCTCCACCACCGCCTGCGCGTGGCCGGGGTCACGCAGGCAGCACACAGACACAGACACGCAGCAGGTTACTCACTCGCCGCCTCCTGCTCCGTCGTTAAGCGGGAGGGGAAGCGACGGCAGGGGTGACGGTATCGGTGGCGTTAGCTGTGACAGCAGTGGTCATCATTTTGCGGGACTTCTCTCGCGCCGTGCGTAGCCAACCGCGCCAGTCGATAACCACGTCGCGTGCCGCCCGAAAAAAATGAGATGACATCGCCGGTTGTTTTCTCCCGGCACGCGCAGGGAGGACACAGCGCATGCCAACAAAAGAAAAAACTCACTCAAGCGCATGCAAGCCTCGCCCGAGTGAAAACACAAAACACCGCCGCAGGGCCACGAGCAGGGAGCGCGCGCGCTTTCGCGAATCTTCCCGAGGACGTCGGGCAAGCAAGACACTCCCGTGTACAGGTTGCTCGAGCGTGCGGGGTCGCCCCGAACCCACGCACGCACGCACGCATGCAGGGTCACACCCAGAGCGGTGGAGCAAAACGGGCAATTTGCTCTACACTAATACGGGGGGGGGGGGTGGGTGCCCACACATGCGGCGATCTGCCCCGGGGGCCTCCAGAAACCTCTGGGCCGGACCTGCGCACGTGCAAGCTTTTAGCCGCGTAACTCAAAACACAAATGTCCAAACAAGCGAAACATCACGATGCAAGGTCCTCCGGATGGCTGTGGAGAGCGCTGGGGGGGGTGGGGGGTGGGGGGTGAAGGCACACAAACGTCATGGCCCGACCGTCGTCATCACGGAGCAGGGGAACGTCGTCGTCATCACAGAGCAGGGGAACGTCGTCATCACAGAGCAGGGGAACGTCGTCATCACAGCAGGGGAACGTCATCATCACAGAGCAGGGGAACGTCGTCATCACAGAGCAGGGGAACGTCATCACAGAACAGGAGAATGTCGTCATCACAGAGCAGGGGAATGTCGTCATCATCACAGAGCAGGGGAACGTCGTCATCACAGAGCAGGGGAACGTCATCATCACAGAGCAGGGGAACGTCGTCATCACGGAGCAGGGGAACGTCGTCATCACAGAGCAGGGGAACGTCGTCATCACAGAGCAGGGGAACGTCGTCGTCATTACAGAGCAGGGGAACGTCGTCATCATCACAGAGCAGGGGAACGTCGTCATCACAGAGCAGGGGAACATCGTCATCACAGAGCAGGGGAACGTCGTCATCACAGAGCAGGGGAACGTCGTCATCATCACAGAGCAGGGGAACGTCATCATCACAGAGCAGGGGAACGTCGTCATCACAGAGCAGGGGAACGTCGTCATCACAGAGCAGGGGAACGTCGTCATCACAGAGCAGGGGAACGTCGTCATCACAGAGCAGGGGAACGTCGTCATCACAGCAGGGGAACGTCATCATCACAGAGCAGGGGAACGTCGTCATCACAGAGCAGGGGAACGTCATCACAGAACAGGGGAATGTCGTCATCACAGAGCAGGGGAATGTCGTCATCATCACAGAGCAGGGGAACGTCGTCATCACAGAGCAGGGGAATGTCGTCATCACAGAGCAGGGGAACATCGTCATCACAGAGCAGGGGAACGTCGTCATCACAGAGCAGGGGAACGTCGTCATCACAGAGCAGGGGAACGTCGTCATCACAGAGCAGGGGAACGTCGTCATCACAGAGCAGGGGAACGTCGTCATCACAGAGCAGGGGAACGTCATCACAGAACAGGGGAACGTCGTCATCACAGAGCAGGGGAACGTCATCATCACAGAGCTGGGGAACGTCGTCATCACAGAGCAGGGGAACGTCATCACAGAACAGGGGAACGTCGTCATCACAGAGCAGGGGAACGTCGTCATCACAGAGCTGGGGAACGTCGTCACAGAACAGGGGAACGTCGTCATCACAGAGCAGGGGAACGTCGTCATCACAGAGCTGGGGATCGTCGTCATCACAGAGCAGGGGAACGTCGTCATCACAGAGCAGGGGAACGTCGTCATCACAGAGCAGGGGAACGTCGTCATCACAGAGCAGGGGAACGTCGCCATCATCACAGAGCAGGGGAACGTCGTCATCACAGAGCAGGGGAACGTCGTCATCACAGAGCAGGGGAACGTCGTCATCACAGAGCACGGGAACGTCGTCATCACAGAGCAGGGGAACGTCGTCATCACAGAGCAGGGGAACATCGTCATCACAGAGCAGGGGAACGTCATCATCACAGAGCTGGGGAACGTCGTCATCACAGAACAGGGGAACGTCGTCATCACAGAGCAGGGGAACGTCGTCATCACAGAGCTGGGGAACGTCGTCATCACAGAGCAGGGGAACGTCGTCATCACAGAGCAGGGGAACGTCGTCATCACAGAGCAGGGGAACGTCGTCATCACAGAGCAGGGGAACGTCATCACAGAACAGGGGAACGTCGTCATCACAGAGCAGGGGAACGTCGTCATCACAGAGCAGGGGAACGTCGTCATCACAGAGCAGGGGAACGTCGTCATCACAGAGCAGGGGAACGTCGTCATCACAGAGCAGGGGAACGTCATCACAGAACAGGGGAACGTCGTCATCACAGAGCAGGGGAACGTCATCATCACAGAGCTGGGGAACGTCGTCATCACAGAGCAGGGGAACGTCATCACAGAACAGGGGAACGTCGTCATCACAGAGCAGGGGAACGTCGTCATCACAGAGCTGGGGAACGTCGTCACAGAACAGGGGAACGTCGTCATCACAGAGCAGGGGAACGTCGTCATCACAGAGCTGGGGAACGTCGTCATCACAGAGCAGGGGAACGTCGTCATCACAGAGCAGGGGAACGTCGTCATCACAGAGCAGGGGAACGTCGTCATCACAGAGCAGGGGAACATCGTCATCATCACAGAGCAGGGGAACGTCGTCATCACAGAGCAGGGGAACGTCGTCATCACAGAGCAGGGGAACGTCGTCATCACAGAGCAGGGGAACGTCGTCATCACAGAGCAGGGGAACGTCGTCATCACAGAGCAGGGGAACATCGTCATCACAGAGCAGGGGAACGTCATCATCACAGAGCTGGGGAACGTCGTCATCACAGAACAGGGGAACGTCGTCATCACAGAGCAGGGGAACGTCGTCATCACAGAGCTGGGGAACGTCGTCATCACAGAGCAGGGGAACGTCGTCATCACAGAGCAGGGGAACGTCGTCATCACAGAGCAGGGGAACGTCGTCATCACAGAGCAGGGGAACGTCATCACAGAACAGGGGAACGTCGTCATCACAGAGCAGGGGAACGTCGTCATCACAGAGCAGGGGAACGTCGTCATCACAGAGCAGGTGAACGTCGTCATCACAGAGCAGGGGAACGTCATCATCACAGAGCAGGGGAACGTCGTCATCACAGAGCAGGGGAACGTCGTCATCACAGAGCAGGGGAACGTTTCTTGGGCTTCGTGCATCGCACAATGCGGCGGCGGCGTCATCCATGCAGCGACGTGCCAAGACGACGCGGTGAGCCATGCACGCGATCGCGGTGCCGTCGACGGCGGGGGTGGGTGGGGGGGGTGGTGGATGAAGGGAGGCCCCAAAGCGAGGAGCAACCCCAAACAAACGCAGCGCACTTCGGTTTAAATCGCGGTGGGGGCGGAAGGACGAGACCCACGATTCAAACCCAGGGTCTCAGCGGTGGTGGCTCAGTGGCTCTGACAATGCAGCCAAACGCGGCCGCCTCTAAATACTCCGACAACGTTTTGCCTCTCCACTTCGTTGAGCTATCACTCGTGACCAGGTCGCTTCTGAAGAAGAAGCTAACAGCTCAGTGGGCTTTACCTGGTAAGATAAAAAAGATCACTAGCCCCGCCCACTTCGCTTATGACCCTTGGGCTACACCCATCTCAAACCTTTATAACATCCTTTATAACAACAGCTCTCCCGCCATTTATTCACCTGATAACGACTGCTTGTGTTGTGATCGATACGTCGTGATATTTTTATTCTTATTTTTATCTTCGTGGCTTTACCGAAAGTACCCAAAGAATAGGATAAAAAGAGTGTAAGCTTTTATTCGTATATTTTAGAAAGTGATTTGTTTACTTTTCCAATACTTTGCACTCCAATCGTGCTTTCATATTGTCAGTTGTCGTAACGTTCTGACCCCGTGTCCCCCTGCAGGAACATCCGTGAAAAAGAGCTTCATAGACTCATCGGATTCCTCCTCCGGCGTAAAAATAATAATAATAAATCCGATTCCGATCCCTTGACCTCTGGAGCCACTGGGCCACCGCTGCCCCGGTCGCGGAAGCCCCACCAGCAACCACATCGTGCGCCGACGCCGTTTGTTGTTACCCCCCCCCGCTTGACGGGCCAGACCGACGACGCGGATACCGATACCTTGATGTACGCTTGGCAGAGCCCATCCCTCATCTTTAGCTGAGAGTGCAGAGATTGGTGGGGGGGGTAAAGGAGGAGGAGGAGGAGGAGGGGGGGGTGAAGGGGGAGGAGGGGGGAGGTCATTATAAAAAGTCACCGCGCGATTTCCAGACTCGCACACAACAACCGCCGCCCGACGAGCAACCGGGCTTTTTTTGCCGGCTGCCCGGTTTCCGTTTGACCCGTGCCGGTTTTGTCAACCTCGCTCGCTCCGGAGTCTCTGACCGGACGTAACGAGTCTCTGATGCGCCTGGCCGGCCGTGCAAGGCGTGCTTCACGACGCGGCCTGGAGCGTGCTTGACGGAGCGTGGAGCGCATCCCTGCGGTGTGCAATGCATTTTGCTGCACAACACGGCACGGAGGGTGCGTGACGGAACATGGAGTGGAACAGTGCGTGTCGTACAAAGCACCCATCGCAACACGGCACGGAGCGTGCCTGACGGAACACGGGAGCGGAGCCCTGTGGCGTGCAGTGCGTTGCTCAACAACACGGCATGGAGCGTGCTTGATGGCAGATGGAGCGGATCCTTGCGGTGTGCACCGCATTGCTTCACAAAACGGCACGGAGCATGATTGATGTAACATGTAGTGGAGTCCTGTGCACACTATGCAACGTGCACACCACAACACAGCATGGAGCAGGATTGATGGAACGTACCCACCACAACAAGGCAAGGGGCATGCTTTTAAGCAGAACGTGGAGCGCGTCGCTGTCCACCGTGCAATGTATGCACCATAACATGGAGCCTGCGCAATGCATGCATTACAACATGTCGTTGAGCGTGGATAATGGAACACGGAGCGGAGCACGTGCGCTGTACAGGCAAGGTGCACACCACAACGTGGAATGGAGCATACTTCATGGAACATGGATCGAGGCATGCTGCACTGCGTGAGGCGTGCACCAAAACACGGCACGGAGAAAAGTTAGATGGAACCGGTTTCCAGAGTTTTCATCGCATAAACCAAAATCTGACGAGAGGCGTCGGTCCAGAAGCCCGAGGATCGGCCGACGGACCGAAAAACACATTTTGCTTTCACGTGCAAAGTATGGGCTCCTTGTCCGTGTATTCAATTATTCATCGGCTACCCACGTGGGCCTCTGCGATGGTCGCCAAATGCTGGGCTCTAGACGGATAGCGGTGCGCCGGTCCGTCAATGGCGGCGACTCCCGCCGACGCGACGCTCTCGCGATTCTGCGACAGCCTCGCAGCGGCGGCGCGACATCACCAGAGCCACCCCCCCCCCCCCTCCGGCTCGGCAAAACGAGCGTCCGCGAAGCGAGGAACCGTTCCCCCAAGAAGGTACCGGGGGACACACGGCCGTCCCCTCTCCGCGAAATGGCTGGATTCTGACACCATCGGCTCCTGTTACAATGCCCTCTGGTGCTAACAAGCCATTGGGTAGAAAAGCGCACTGGAGCGTTCTGCGCCCAACGACTGACGAATTGGATGGTTTTTATTTTAGTTTGGCTCGATCTTCCTCGCTGGTTCGGAACCCATTCGCTCCATTCGCCGGAATTTAACTGCGGCCACCGAATCGTTCGCCGAAGAGGCGGCGGTCACCAATACGCGCATCCAGTCGTACAAATAAGCGAGGGAAAAGAACAACAAACTATGGGTCTCTTTGCGAGTCGATGGATCTCTGTTGCGAGTCTTTGAGTGTATGCACGCGGAACTTCTTCACACCTTACGTAGCCAACCGTGCTAATCGGAGGCGTGGGGGAAAGGACAACAGCCGCTCTTCCCAGATCTGGGTCAGATTCAAGGGTGTCGGCAGCAGCGCGGTCCCAGGAGGGGGGTCGGGACCTTGAGTTGGCGTTGCGGTACATTTCAGAGGGTATTGATAATAATAATGCAGCAATTAAGACGATGCGTTCACATGTGGTGTTCCCCCTCTTCTGGCATGGGTGCCATGCTCTATCCCCAGCGTTACAATGCAGCGCTAGAGCAGGCGGCGACGCCAGCGCAAGGCCGTGAGTCGTTTCGGCAAAAAGCGCTCGCTCGACGCTGCATGGAAGGGAGTCGCGTAAACGGACAAAAAACACATTTTGGCAAAAATCCTATTAAAGTTACATTACAGTTAAGATGAATACACGCAAATGGGATGCATTAATCCGTAATAGGATTAAGGCGCCGTCTGTCGTCGCGCATCGCAGATTCCGTGATTTATAAGCACGCGTCGAGATTTAAACTCGGTGATGAACGGCATTTAGAGGCCGACAGCCGCCGCCCGCATAATTATGGGGACCGTTCGGTGCTCAGCCTGGCGCGTGGGCGCATTCGGAAAGAAAGTCAACCGTGCAACGCCGCCACCGCCGCCGCCGCCGCACGCTTCCCTTAAGCGCTGTCCTCCAGACAGTCTCGTCCCTTCACCTGATGAAGGCCACTTGTGTTGTGGCCGAAACGTCGTGAGAATTTTATTGTGTTATTTTATTAATTTAATATTTTATTCTCATTCTACGTGACTTTACCGAAAGAACCAAAGAAGATAGCACCGCTGAGTCCGCCATCTTGGTCTCGGCCTATTCAAGGCTTCAAAAGAATGACTGTGGTTTGAGCACTCGGCTCACCAATCGCCAGGCCGCGTGTCGACCCCCCAACCAAATACCGGTTGGGTGGCGGGGGGGGATCGACTTAGTCCATCGTCGTCATCGCCACCATCGCCATCCCTTATGGTGATGAAAGGGACTTAGCACGGACAGAAATGACGACTCTTACTTGAAACAGTAGGCCATCACGTGACCACCACAAAAACGAAGCCGTCGGCCACATGCGGGTCGCATCCGGGGCCCCCGTCCGCCCTTCACGCACAGCTACGGAGGAGACCTTCAATAACCGCCGTGGTGGCGGTGGTATTTTTGTCGGTCGCGTGCCATGCTACACAGCGCCGTTTCCAGCCTTGATGGACGGCCATATCCGGCCATACCCGGGACCCTCCCTCGGGCCACTCCGTGCTCTAAAGGTCACAACGACCCCAAGCGCCCGCCCCCCTAGCAAAGCCGAGCGGCGTGTGGATCCCGGGATGCGGCCGGGTACCTTGTTGAAGGTGCGTGTGGACGACTCCTTCTCCGTGGGCGTCAGCTCGAGCAGCTGTGCGTCCAGGATGTCCACCAGCTGCTCCATGAGCTTCACCGAGGAGCTCACGTCGCCCGCGTACACGGGGTCGCGCGTCTGCCGCGCCAGGTCGCTCGCCACCGTGGCGGCGTTCTCGCGGCTCTTGATCTGAGCGACGGGGGAGGGGGGGGGTGGGGTGAGAGGGAGGACATAACGGTGAGGGACAACGATGGGGGGGCGGGGGGGGGGGGCGACAAGAGTTATCGAATTAAATAATCGATTTGCTGAGGATCACGGTCAGGCATACAGACGGAGTGATTTGGGAGAAAAAGCAAATCAGAGACATCGTCATATTGCCTGTTAAGAAAAGTAATGACTCAGAAGACAAGTATTGACGATTAGAACAAGTATTGACTGTTAGAACAGGTATTGACTGTTAGAACAAGTATTGACTGTTAGAACAAGTATTGACTGTTAAGACGAGCAATGGGTAAAAATAACAGTGCATGAAGGTGTGCCGCTCACAAACGAAGGCACGACTCCCATCGTTCCTTGCGTGCACATCACGTGACCACCGTGACGTGCACGCAGGTGCACGCACGATGCTCTCAGCCTTGTCAAGACCACCAGCTCAAGACTAGAGCTGAAAGCGTGGCTGTATTAGGTTTACTATCCCTTATCGTTTTAGCCGGCTCAGTTTTTCTTCTATTTTGATTCGCTTTCTCATCATTCACACAAGGCATTCGATTTCGATCGAAGTGGACGAATGGGCTCGGTGACGGACACCATCCCCCGGACGGCATGATGTCCGGCGGATGAGCGACAGCTGGGGGCGACGGAACGGCAGCCGAAGGCGATGGACGAGGCGGGGGGCGAAGACCGTCGCGGAGATGGAACGGACGAGACGCGTTCCCGTGCGTGGGCGAGATGGGGGGGTGTTGTGGGCATTGCGAAGGTCGCGACGACGACTCGATTGAGGTCTCGCACGGGGGAAGGGACAGGGAGGCAGGGAGGCGATGGCTCACCCGTTGCGCGATTTGGTTCACCCAGGGCGAAGTGCAGTTGCTGAAATCGGGACCTCGGGCAGACCAGACTCCCGTGATGGCGTCGCAGGTGTAGAGCGCCGTGCCTGGTGTGTGCACACAAAGACAAAGGTTCCCCGTGTAGCCTTCGAACAGACTTTGCTGGGCCAAGTGCTGTTGGCGAACACTTATTAAAGACGGCACGGCACACGATTGGGGTCGGTGGCCATCCACCACGGTCGGCCGTCATCGTCTCTCAGGTGCCGTTGTTTACCAAGCTTACCATGTTACTATTAAACTATTAAACATACTTATTATCTTACCAGGTGCCCACTGAGCTGTATAGCTATTTTTCAGATGTAACCTGGCAACGTAGTGGCTTATCTTGCGGAAATCTACGGCGGCAGGCAAATACTCTAAAACGCGTTTTCTAAATGTTGAGGGAAAAACCGAAGGACCCGGAGAAAAATCCACGCGACCACGGGGAGTGAAACATGCAAACTTCAAATACACATTTGTCAGGGTTAGGATCGAACCCACGAACTCCTGAGTACCAGGCGAGGTAGTTAACCTCTCGACCACGGGGTAGCCCAGGGTAGGTTCATATATTCGGATCCAATGTTGGCCATGAGTGGGAATCAAACTCAGTTCACTGGGCTCATAGCCACTATGCTCCTGCTCCCCCAACATACACGAATATACAATCACACACACAGACACACACTCTAACATATAATCAATATGCAATCACACACATTTACATATACAAGAAGGCACACACATTTACACACGCAATCAATACGCAATCATACACATTTGCATATATAGGTAATCATTTCAGTCCGAGATGACCTAAGGGATGTCCAAGACATCTTCATATATCAATCGCCACTGATGTTGTGGCTGGAAAATCCAATTCAGGTCGCCGGGTTCGAAGCGCAGTGCGCTCACCACGCACACACACGGCGAACACCCACAAAAACGCACGGGTGCATACAATCACAAACGTTAGCACGCACACAAAGACAAAGATCCCCCTGTAGCCTACACAGGCCATTGGAGAGCAAGTGCACCAGTCACCATTGTCTCCCCAGTACACACACCTCACCAGGTACTCATTTAAGGCTGAGTAGGCCAAAGACCAGTTCAAGTGCCACTCGCCACTGATGTCAGCCTTGGCTGGTCGCCGGGTTTGTAAGAGCAACGTGCGCCACCGGTCACTACACATATATTGCACAGACACCTAGAAATACCCCCCCCCCCCCCCCCCGTATAGCCATAAGATAATTTTGGGGCAAGTTCGAGTACCTATGATGGCCGGCACGGCACAAGGGGGGGGGGGAGGGCTGGTGGGTGATCAGCACCGCGCCAAACCTCCTTTGTCTCCCCAGTGGCGATGTTTACACACCGCACCGGGTACTCAATTGAGTCGACCAAGGGGAGGAGGCCCAGAACCGGTTCAGATAATCGTCACCGGTGTTGGCCGTGAGCGGGAAACCAACTCGGGTCGCCGGGTTCGTAGCGCAGGGCTCTAACCGTTACACTACCGCTCCCCACACATACGCACATACAAATATACATTCGCATTCATAAATACAAACGAACACACATAGACAAACACACATTCACAAAAACACACGTACACGCAAAGACTCACAAACGCACGCACACACACACACACGCCTCACTCGGACAACATAAAACTCAAAACATTCCGTGCATCAAATTCCTCTCACCGTGCCAAATTTTTAATCCTATGGAATTTCCGACGGCGTCGCTCGGTGGAACCCAGGAAAAAGTCTGCAGCGGGGAGCTTTTCTTTTGGGTCTCGGCATCGTTTTCAGGTTGCACGTATGCGGGCTTTGACACGTAGGCTTTCGCGACCAATATAATTCGTAATAAAGGTTTCTATTTCTTTTGGATTAGATCGCGTAAGAGTCAAAGTGCGTGGTCAGCCCGCCACCACCCGACGCGGCCAATCACAGCAAGGTTCGTCACGTAAACGAAACGTGCCAGTTAGTTGCTACTTCAAGCCCACCGCGTTGCGTGTTGGAGAGTAAATCCACAACATGCACGATTCGAGTACCGTGAAGTTTCGCTGGTGATTACGATTGTGCTTGAGTTGAACGTCTTTCGCACCGCACGTTAGCCAACCGTGCAAAATCAAAATCTTCCCCCCCGCGTCTATCCCGCCCCCCCCCCCCCCCACGCCCCAGTCCACACGTCTGCGGCACCGTCATCTCGCTGGAGCGAGCGACGGCACAGCGGTTAGCGCACCGTGTCGGCCTTGATAAGCGCTCGCCAACGGCGGCCTGCTTTAACCCTGCGCGCACTGTTCTGGACGAGCGGTTTTCATCCCCTGGACATCTGCGCAAAAGAGCTTCGTGGCTCATCGGATTTTCTGCGGGATGAACAGAGACTCCCGATTCTGAAAGATTCTGATTCAGCGAACAGTCAGTCGGGAGTGATATCTAAACTGGCAATGGCTGACTACCAACCTTCACCAATGTCCACTGACCAGCGTGGTGAAGTATGGTCAAACCAACATAGTGTGTCGGTCATGGGGGTTGATCATCCAGCAGTGGATTGAGAAAGGCTTGTACATTATTATTATAGCTATGAGATACAATGAACTGGCTGGGTGAGGCTCAGTGGTCAGAGCACATCACTCACAGTTGAAAGGTCAGGAGTTCAGGTCCATGTTGTGATGGTTAACCCAGCCCCATTCAACATAATCAACATCCATGGGGATAAAAAAAAAATAACAGGTCCTGCTTCGTGGGAATGTAACACTTCTTATTGTTCTGCCAAGTCCTAACTTGCTCGCTGCCATAGTAACGTGGAATTTCCACCACCAGCTCTACAATTCGCTGCACCTTATGCTCGCTTGAGCAGGCGGCTACAGTGGTTTTCGGCTTAAGAGTACCTTACAACGTCACATATCCAACTCTGTGGGAACTGAGGTATGGGGTGGATACGTGAAAAGGTCTGACATGTTGACATCGATAGAGAATGACAGTCACATCACACTTCGCAAAACCTGTCAACCCCTTGTCAGTGCCCTACCTTATTACAGACAAACCCAAACCTTGTTGGTCACCCCGTGCCCCTTATAAATCTCAGCGTTCATTCTATATCACAAGGGAGAAACACAAACAAATAGACCCCCAACAAAATGTTTGCCCGTAGTGAAACGGCTGTACGCAGTATAGACGTGAAAGTTCAATTTCCCTGCAGGTAAACCGTATGGGTTGACAGGTCTGGCACTGTGCGTACTGCACTGGGTTTGGGCGTTTAATTGGTCCTTGAGGATGCGTGACGGTGAGAGACGTGTCGATGTACTGTATCAGTGAGTTGAATTTTTCCGGCTCTCAATGCCAAGTTGATAAGTTCAACGTTGGGTCAACGTCGCATGTTTACTGGGAACACAGCCTGTCAAACATCACCGCCACCACCACCATCACCACGATACCATCATCATCACAATCATCACGATCATCACCATCACTGCCACCGCCATCACGATCATCGCCACCAACATCACCACCACCATCATCATCATCACCATGAGCACAATCATTATCACCATCATCATCACCGCCCCTTCCGGCTGGCAAAATAAAAACCACGTGTAACATGTGGTTCTGAGCAGTTCAATGTGGATTTTTTTTATGAACAGACTTGGACCCTATATTTCGATTTAAAGCTTTCGTGACTGCAATGATTAATCTTCTTTGGTTCTTTCGGTAAAGTCATGTAGAATGAGAATAAAATAATAAATTGATAAAATAAAATAACACAATAATATTCTCACGACTAATAAATTGATAAAATAAAATAACACAATAATATTCTCACGACGTTTCGGCCACAACACAAGCGGCCTTCATCAGGTGAAGGGACGAGACTGTCTGGAGTCCACTCCAGCGCTGTCCTACCAGACAGTCTCGTCCCTTCACCTGATGAAGGCCGCTTGTGTTGTGGCCGAAACGTCGTGAGAATATTATTGCGTTATTTTATTTTATCAATTTATTATTTTATTCTCATTCTACGTGACTTTACCGAAAGAACCAAAGAAGACTTGGACCCTATAGGAATGTGGAATTTAAAACCACTGGCAGCGTAATAAATAACTTGGTGAGAATGTCGCCTGATGAAGCTGGTTGTAATTACTGGCGAAATGTCACGGCGCTCAGATTGTAAATGTTGTGACTTGGCTCTCCAACACGCCGGTGTGCTGTACTAGTATACTACACTATACACTACTATACACAATACACTACTACACACTACACTACTATACACTACACTACTATACACTACACTACTATACACAATACACTACTATACACTATACTATACACTACATAATACACTACTACACACTACACTATACACTACACTACTATACAAAATACACTACACTATACACTACTATACACTACACACTACACTAAATACACTACACTACTACACACTACACTATACACTACACTAATATACACTACACTATACACTACACTACTATACACTACACTACTATACACTACACTACTACACACAATTCACTACTATACACTACACTATACACTACATAATACACTACACTACTATACACAATACACTACTACACACTACTATACACAATACACTACTATACACAATACACTACTATACACTATACTATACACTACATAATACACTACTACACACTACACTATACACTACTACACACAATTCACTACTATACACTACACTATACACTACATAATACACTACACACGACACTATACACTACACTACTATACACAATACACTACTACACACTACACTACTATACACAATACACTACTATACACAATACACTACTATACACTATACTATACACTACATAATACACTACTACACACTACACTATACACTACACTACTATACAAAATACACTACACTACTACACACTACACTACTATACACTACACTACTACACACTACACTACACACTACACTACTATGCACTACACTACTATATACTACACTACACACTACACTACTATACACTACACTACTATACACTACACTACACACTACACTACTATACACTACACCGGCGTGCTGTACTAGTAATGAATTGGCCACGTTCCGTTCATGTGACAACCCCTTACTAGTTGGCTGTGTCGGGTGGTGGCGGGTTTTAACGACACATTCATGTATTTACGCAATCTAACCCCGAAAAAACCTCTATTATTGGTGAGAATGTGTGTGATTGGATGTGGGTTTCCCACGTGATATCCTCAAGGCAACATTGTTGAGTGGTGCTTGAGCTCCACACCCCATCTAGCCACGTCTCACCACTTCCCCAACCCCACAGAGACAAAAGGACCCTCGCGTGCAGCCTTTAACAGACCATTGGAGCAAGTGGCTGTTAGCGAGTAGCAGCACCTATGAAGGCTGTCACGGCACACGAGGGGAGGTGGGTGGCCAGCACCACGCCTGGCCGCCTTTGTCTCCCGAGTGGAGATGTTTACTACACATCGCTCAAGGTACTCATTTTGAGGCCGAGTCAACCTAGCGGAGGCCCAGGACCGGTTCAGACAATCGTCACTGGGTGTTGGTGGCTGTTAGCGGGAATCGAACTCAGGTCGCCGGGTTCGTATCGCAGCGCGCTGACCGTTGGGACTTCCGCTCCCGACCCCCCCACTGACGGGAGGTACCGACACAGACTGAGACAGCGAGACAAAGGGAGACGGTTGGGGGGGGGGGGGGATACAGAGAGAGAGCGAGAGACGGAGAGGGCATGGAGGCAGATAGCCGGAGAGAGATAGATAGAGAGGCACAAAGAGGAAAAAGATCCAGAGATAGGGTGACAGAGAAAAACAGGTAGAGAGATGGACAGAGAGGGGTCTACAGACATAAGAGCATGAGACACAAAAACGGAGCCCGAGGGGAGAGGGGCAGGGAGAGCGACACACACAGACACACACGCAGATAAATAGAAAGAAAGAAAGCGATGCAGCCATAGGGAGACGCAAGAGAAACAGACACGCAGATAGAGACACTGATACAGAGACACCGATAGAGACTCGGAGACAGAGGGAGACGGCCGGAGGCGGGCGGGCGGGCGGGCGGGCGGACTCACCGACGGTGCCCGCAGGACAGGGCCTCTCCGCCGTCTTGCCCTGCAGCAGCTGGGGCCACTGGACGGCGCGGGCGAGCGTGGGGGGACAGAACGTGGGCACGCGGGTGCCGCCCTCGCCGCCGTCAGCGGGCGCCACGTCTCCCGGTTTCACGTCGGTCGTGTCCTGCGGTGGAGATGCGCCATTACAGAGTCGAGCGCAGCGTTGTAGGTTCAACCTCTTTCGCACCGTACAGAGCCAACCGTGCTAATCGGAGGTGCAGTGCGCACCAATCACCGCTCACCACCACCACCACCATCAGCAACAATGCCACCACAGTCGCCACTACCACTGCCCCCCGTATAGCCTTTAACGGGTTGTTGCGGAAAGTGCTGTTCGCGAGCACCTATGAAGGCCGGCACGGCACGTCAGGGGATGGGTGGCCAGCACCACGCCCGACCGCCTGTGGCCATGTTTTTACACACCGCACCAGCTGCTTATTTGAGGCTGAGTCGACCTAGGCGAGGAGGCCCAGGACCGGTTCAAATAATCGTCACCGGTGTTGGCCGCGAGCGGGAATCGACCTCGGGTCGCCGGGTTCGTTGCGCGGCGTAGAGCTGACCGCTGCGCTAACCGCTCCCCACCACCATCACCACCACCGCCACCACTACTGCCAACACCATTGCTGATACCACCACCACCACCACCACCGTCACCTGTGGCGGTTGCGCAGGGATTGGCGGCAACGTTGCCACGTGGCTCCGCGGAGGACTTGCGGTGCTGCCTCCACTGGAAGGCCCCAACGTCGAAATCTCGTGCACTGCATTGTGGGAAACACACGAAAAAACAACGACCATATTGACGACACGGGCGCGGCCAACTAATGTTTACCCAATCAACGACGGCAAGAGCAGCGACGGCCATTCGGCACCTCCGATTGGCACGGTTGGCTATGTACGGCGCGAAAAAAGTTCAACGTGCAAACGCACATTCGCAAACCAAGAGCAGCGGCCCAGAGCTACCAAACGTCCTGGATTGGCCGAACGTTCCCGGTTTCAGGAAGGCCATCCCCGGTGTCCCGAAGAGTTACAAGTTTGTGCCGCTTCAAAGTTTTCTGGCCTCACGCTCGACCCGTGTGGGGGGGTGGAGGCCTATGAGCAGTGGGCGAGTGCAACGTCAGAGACAGCCAAGGAGCAGGCCTCCTCACGCACCTCAGATTAGCGTAGTCGGCTACGTAGGGTGCGAAAGAAAGTTCCAACATATGCACATACTGCCCCGACCACGACCATCGAACAAAGTTGGTCACTGTGAAATTAACAATAGGTTTTACCCCTTTATGGAAATAAAACAGGAGGTGTTAAGATGTTCAAATACCAAATAGACTCATGCAACGTCGAGTCGACCTTAAGTTATCACTTACACACAAACACCAAATATGGCTTATCAGACTGTGGAGGGCAAGTGCTGTGAGTGAGCACCTATGAAGGCCGGCACGGCACATGAGAGGAGGTGGGTGCACCACCTTCTCGTGTGGCAATGTTTACACACTGCACCAGGTACTCATGCTGTTGGTGGCCGTGAGCGGGAATTGAACTCGGGTCGCCAGATTCATAGCGCAGCGCGCTAACCGCTATACCACCGCTCCCCACACACACACACACAGACACACACACAGACATGCTTCACTCTCAACACAGAGCCCAGTCCTGAATCACACCCTGGTCATACTGGACACCTTTACTGGACACCTGTGAATAGAAGCTTCATAGCACGTCGGATTTCTCGAGGGTAACCAAGGATTCTGATTCCGACACACACACACACACACACTTCATGAGACACACACACACACACGCACGGACGCCCTTGGCACACAGCGCAGTCCCTGCATCTCACCCCTTGCAGCAGGGAGAGCGAGGTGTCAGTGAGCGAGCGAGCGAGCGAGCGTCGGAGCCGAGTTTAGTTGGTGGAAGCTGCCGTCACGCTGCCACCAGGGAGCACGACAACGCGGCTGGCGTGAAATTAAAGTGCGCAGCTGCGGTGTGGAATTAGCCTAATGACTAAGCAATGGGAGCTGTTGGGAGGAGCTGGGCATCGGCTTGGCTTCCACGGCAGCAGCGTGGTCTCTATTACAGACGCGCGCCGTCCGTGTGTCCGTCCGTCCGTCCGTCCGGAGTTTTTGTAACCGCTCAGATTTCGTTCCGCCCGTCGGCTGTGCCACGGTGTTCGCCGTACGTGCAACGCCGTCGCATCTCTCGGTGGGGGGGTAGGGGGGGGGGGGTTGTGGGGGGGGGGGCAGGTCCCCCCCCCCCTTCCCCTCTCCACACTCCCCTTCGTCCCTTACTGAGGTTCTTCCACCCTCACCTGCCTCTCCCCACGTGAATGTAAACATGCAACCCCAGCTCTAGGTCTCCACTCGGCAGGGTGGCAGCGGCAGTGACTTGTGCCCGCGGAGTTTCTGTACCACTCCCTCCTCCGCCCCCACAACCCCACAGCGCCACTACGTCGCGGTTTGTGCTCTGTGCCGGGCTCCAGCTGAAAATGTAAAACGTAAAAAAAAATCGTCGGGGTGGGGTGGGGGGGGGGGGGGGCCAGGGCGCTAACCTCTACTGTATGGACCCCGAGGTCAATACAGTACAATTTACATAGCGATGACACCTATGGTGGACTTCTTTTGCACCGTACGTGGCCGGCCGCGCGAATCGGAGGTGCGGGTAGGGGAAGGACAACAAACTAAACACGGGAAGCGGTTCTCAAGAAATTCGCTTTCGATCGAGATGATTTCGAAGTGCATAGCGCCAGTGTCTTCCTAACATCGAAAGGAGGAGCGTTCCAGACGGCCGCAGGAGCGCATCTGAAATGGCGCGATGCGGTGACCACCGGCTTTGTTCGATGGCCGAGCCGAAATCTGCTGCTGCGAGGATGACCGGAGTTCACATGTGATGGTTTAAATGCGACCGCATCTCCAGAAGTTTCACATGCGGGAAGTGGAGCAGGGTGGGGGGGGGGGGAGGAAATGTGCTCTCTGCACATGAATATAAAAAAAGGTCTCAAGTCGAGGGTAGCAGCAGCAGCAGCAGCAGCACAGTCTCAACTACACAAAAGTTCCGGAGGAAGAGAATTGCAGAGACAAACAGGAGCGGACGTCGAGAAGAGCGACCTCCCATGGAACCAAGGTTGAGACTGTGGGTGGCTGTGCAGGAAGGAGGAGGCCTTCGTTGCTGGAATGGAGACAGTGCGGCAGCGGCGATTAACGTGAGGCGAGAGAGGCGAGCGTAGACAGAGGGGCACTTACGGGGAACTCGGAGAGGTGGGGGGGGGTTGGGGTTTATCAGTGCTAGATCTGTGACGTCCACTTCCGCTCTACGAGCGAGCCGAATTAACCATTTCCCATTCCGATGATGTCGGGTTTTTTTTCCGATGGCGTTAGGTGCACGCACACGTACGTCATCGGAACGGAATCGGGAGAAAAGCTGATGACTCGATAAAAAATATAACTTTATCGGGAGGGTGTGCGGCACAGTTCAGGCGCCAGCTATCGCAGAGTTGCGGACGTGTCCCCACGGTCCCTCTGCGGTGAGTGCAATGTCCTTAAAAACAACGGCGCTACGCCTCCTCTGAATAGAACTAACGCTGAGCCCCGCTCGCGCGTTCCAAGAGATTCAGCGGTGAATGGGTGGGGGGGAGGGTGGGGGGGGGAACACCCCTAGCCCACAACTCGTGGGACGTCTTGAAACGGTGAAAGGGTTAAGGCCCTGTCTCGGCGACCGTGTGATGCCGATGGCACAATCGGGATAAAGTTGGGTGAGGGGCGGTGGCCGGGGGGGGGAGAGGGGCGAGAGGGCAGGGAGGAATAAAAGACTGAGGAATCTGTCGCGCACCGAGGGCCGAACGGCACTTTCAAACGCCTCAGTCCATCCTGTCACTGCAAGGTTGTAAGGAAACTAACGTACCGTGAGCGGTCATGTTTAAAATGTGTGGAGCTAGGGTTTTTTTTTCCCGGCGTTTTCTATTGGGATACCGTGGGGGCTGAGCCACGGCGTGCTCCTGCAAAAGCTGCGTTTTACGGTTGTTCCGATGTCATTTTCACGAATTTAAACTAAAGTAATAAAACTTTTTTATTTTATATTACCAGGTAAGGCCCACTGAGCTATGTAGCTCTGTTTCAGAAGCGACCTGGCCATCACAAATGATAGCTCAACGAAAGTGGTTCGTCGTCACGTGGAAATTTATAGCAGCCAAATACTCTGAAGGAATTGACGTCGATTCTAAACGCGGAGGGGAAAAACCGGAGGACCTGAAGAGAAATCCACAGGACCACAGAGAGAGCAGGCAAATACACAACAGGCGTCAGGGTTGGTTTCGAACCCACGACCTCCCGTATACCAGGCGAGGTAGTTAACATCTCCTAGCCACCGTGGCGCCTCAATTTAAGAGTTTTACTCTTACGAGGTCAACCTGAGTGAGGTTGCGGTGATTGGAGCGACTTGAGAGCGCTGGAATTAGAAACGCAGCGCCGTTTTGCCGGTCGAAAAACATGGCCCTCGAGTGCTCGATTAGTGCCGCTAAGATAAACTCCTCGCGGTGATGGACAACAATCATCTGTGGTTGGCCTCACGCGGCTGTGGGCCTTGTGAAGTGAAGCCACAGGCCATAGATGGGTCCTACCTCCGGTTTAAAAGGTATTCCTACCTCTGGTCAGTTTTGAACGAGCAGCTGGATTTAAGCACTCATTCTGAATGTAATTACACTGTCCTGTGGATAAACTTGTCCCTGTCATATAAAGGTGGAATTCCCACCGCTGGCTTGGGGTTGTAAACCGGAGGTAAGCGCCAATGCCTCAACACTCTTTTTGAGCAGGAAAATCACTTTTGAGTCGTTGTGACGAACATTAATGCAATAGCGAGAGCCTGTTGACAGCCAACTCAACTTGGGCACCGCAATGGCATAGATGTTAACTACCTCGCCTGGTATACAGGAGTTCGTGGGTTCAATCCCGACCCTGACCATGCCCGCTGCTGCTGTATATATGGAGTTTGCGTGTCTCTCTCTCATCATCATCATCACGGTGGCCAGGAGATGTTAACTACCTCGCCTGGTATACAGGACGTCTTGGGTTCGATGCCGAACCTGATGCCTGCTGTATAATTGGAGTTTGCGTGTCTCTCTCTCTCATCATCATCAGGGTGGCCAGAAGATGTTAACTACCTCGCCTGGTATACAGGAGGTTGTGGGTTCGATCCCGACCCTGACCATGCTCGCTGCTGTATATTTGGAGTTTGCGGTGTGTCTCTCTCTCTTTCTGTCTCTCTCTCTTGTGGTGACGAGATGTTAACCCCATCGCCTGGTATACAGGAGGTCGTGGGTTCGATCCCGACCCTGCCTGCTGTATATTTGGAGTTTGCGGTGTTTCTCTCTCTCCGTGGTTGCGTGGATTTTTTCTCCGGGTCCTCCGTTTATTCCCCTCCACATTTATAATGAACATCACTCTTACAGAATTTGACTGCTTTAAATTTCCACATGACGATGATAAGTCGCTTCTGAAAAAGAGGTGCATAGCTCAGTGGGCCTTGCACGGTAAAACGAAAAGAGTTTCGTAGTTAACAGTTTAAAGCCAAATAGAGTGGGGTGGGTGGGGGCGTTACCTTTTTCTTTGTCAGGTTATTTGTAACCTGGCCTGAACCCATCACCTCGCTAAACGCAGGGGCCCCCGATTCGGGCCTAAGAGCCTCAGCGGTGCCAGCTCTCGTCATCCGACACGGCCATTACGAACCCCCCCTCAAGAGAAGGCCGCCCACACCAATGCCCCGAAACACCACT